TGCTGACGTGGGCTTCAATGTAGATCTTACGTGTGCAAGATGCGTACATGGAAATCGAGTGTCCTTCGTATTCGAATCAATGAAAGCTAAATAGCTCTCATTCTGAACAACTCATTTTGTTCGACAAATCAATTAACCGAAGGACGTCGAAGTGAACTTGGTAAGTTTCATCCTTGACAGTGGGTTGAGTCTTGTGAAGACGTTCTTCGAGGTTGAAGTGCGGTAATTACCTTCTTCGCTGGTCACGTTTGCCCTCGGGCGGTTTGGGATAATTTTATTTTTCGGCGAATCTACGAGCGCCATTGTTCAAGGCGTGAAGTACTTTTTATATGCCCCCATTCGTTGTTGGAACGACGTTCTTGGCCTCTCTATTTCGGTACTCCAGGACCTGAGGAACACCTTCCTTCCTCTCAGTCGCCGCCGTGGGCTTTGTTTGTCTTCTGAAAAGCCGACGGAGGAAGCTTTCGGGCGGTAAGCGTGCGGAAATCGCATTGATTTCCACCTTAGTCCGAAGGCCGAAAGCGGTGCAGTATTGATAGCTCGGGCATAGAAATGGGAACCAACGCGGCGAAGGGAATCCAATCAGCTGCTTGGATCCGGATTTGTGTCACTGGTGTCGGAAGAGATGTTCGAAGGCCGCTTTTGGTCGGTGTGTGCGAAGCGGTGATTGCGGTTGTAGGGAAAACCACGCTTCGACACCTGTTGTTTTCCGCAGCTGTTTTTTTCTGGAAGACGAAAGCGTGTATTTGGGTCGCCGGGAATGGCCATCACGGTCGAATGAAGGACCTAGATTGTGCTTGCTCTGCTTATTCTTCGAGCTTGCTTGTTTCCTTCTGCATGGTCCAATTGTTTTGGTTTTTTTTCGTTTCGAAATAAGCACAGTATAGGCGAGGATTTTTCCCAGAGCCGAGTCTTGCGGTGGAATGAGTTTTGAAGTGACCCTGATTTTCTAGTAACTGTGTTCAAAACGTTATTATTTAGCAAGACTTTTATAATAGCGTATTTACTTGAGTGCCACGCACCTGATTTTTCTCATCCTAACATTTGGATTAAAATCTATCCCCGAGTATGACTTGCGCCTTATTTTCATTGACACAAAAGTTGTACAGCTAAGTAATCGAAAAAATGCGTCAGACGTAAATTGAAGAATTTTGCATTTTTCCACTTGAAAACAAAATTATAAAAATTGGTTAAATGTTCCCTTTAGAATCGTGTATAACGGCCACTTGAACTGTTGAAACAAAATTTTTTTCCCACCCATAATGTTCATCTTCTTTTTTCCCCTCGTAATTCAGAAAAAGGTGCTCATGGTGCTCGCAAAAGTATGGTAAATCGGATGTTGCCCATGAATTGCCCGTGGCCATGAAGAATCGGGGATAGATGTCACTGGCAGTCACGATTAAATTTAAATTGTACATGTAGTCCTCCCAAGTTCCATCTGCCTCTACGTTCCTTCTGTGGTTGTTTGAAGTGTGGTACTGTTTTACGAATTAATTTATTGGATGATGTGGGGATTTAAAACTGATTATATAAAATGAAATAAGTCGATTTGTTTTCTCTCGCCGTTTTCTAGCTTCAGGGCCTTATCATCAAACCCTCGTGACGTATATAACATGAATATTAATGCATTGATGTGTTCTTTTTAATCCAACTTTGAAACCCATTCGATTTCTCCGATGCGCAGGAAATTTGTAGACGCCACAGGAGAGGAACCTGAATTTTTTTCAAGTTTCATTTTATTCCGCGTAAAATTTTAAATACATTTTTGGTGATGCGTCAAGTAGTTTCTCCGAACAAGGCTGAATTCAGCGTAGAAGCTTGTGTTGATAGTGAATAAAATTCCTTTTACAGTACTTGGAATTTTCGTCGAAGAACCAGTTTTTCTGTTTCCTTTTCAAACACTCTGAATTCGGATGCGCTTCTCCGCATGTGCCGATCGATTGCTTGTGCTGGATCGACAGAGAATGACATTTTTAAATTGAACGATGTTGCAATATCTATTGAGCCTTGCGATTGAATATTTTATTTTTGAGAGGAAGCAGGTTTTAAAGAATACTTGCCCCAAGTTCCGTTTTGTACTAGCGAGTTGGCTTTTCCATCCCTTCGTACTTCGGAGCTTTTTGGAAGAGGGTACGATGAGTGCTCTTCAGGAAGCGTGACTCTTGCAGTAGTCGCTGGGTGATGTTCAAGCACTCAAGGTTGTGTTTACATCCGATTCCCTTTGAAGTTTTTACTAAACGAACTCTTCTGTTGCCATGACCTACCTACCTGTCCTCGGCCTCGCTCTACAAAACGGATTGTCCTCCCCGGGAGTTTCTTTGAGTTTATTGCGAAGTTTTCCATGTTCAATAGAAATCTGGTATTCCTAGTTTTTTTATTTTTTATTACGGAATCAAACGTGTATTGAAATACAGTATTGATGTCCTATAGCAAATGAAAGGTGACAGTAGGAAAGTGGGTTCCCCGCATGACGAAAATAATTCGTTCCTGTGTGCGTTTCGTTACGCCAAACGCGATTTTCCTTCTAGTCACATTATAAGCTATTTAATTTTTCCCAGATAACCACAAAGAAAATATAAACCTTCGAAACTGTACAGTATTTTATCTTAATTTACAGAATGACATTGGGAATGTTGAATTGAGCAGTGTTGTAATTCTGGCAAGTTTGTGCCCTGAACTTCCAAAATCTTCACGAATTTTAAAGACAAGAAGTGGCAAAACTATGTCCTCTTTTGTCATTTACCTCGATTCTTTTTCAAGTTCAGATATTTTAGTCCAAAACTTTGAAAATATTTTGTCGTTTTTATTCGCCAATTTTATTTTTCACATTTTCTTCCTGTTAGTAAGTTTTTATTCCTTAAACATTTTCGTTGTGCGGGAACTCACTGTATTCCTGCAGCGCCTTTCCAGGAACCAGATTTGATCTTTGCAAAAGCTTGTTTATTTTTCCGAAAATCCCCGTAAATATAACCCCCTCCGTAAAACTATTCCCTGATGAATGCAAGGTGAAATTACATCCTGTGTGTATAAGTGCAAATATCAGGACATTTTACTGGAATTGAAAACAACGGTTATCCACTGCCAAATGAAAGGCACAAGACAAGCGCGTCATCATTTTACTGTATTTCTGCTTTGTTGGATTTATATATTCGAAAAATGTATCATGTTTTATTTCTTGCGAGCGATTTTATAAATCGAGTCTCAGCTTCCGCGGTGTTTTCGTTAGTGTAACTGCCGGCGTGATACAAGGGCTTGTTTTTGATTGGCATTTTCAACAGTGAAGAATTATATGGAAAGAATTTCAAACCAACGAAGGCTGTTCTGCTGCCTGAAATTTTTTAGATCGGTGATGAGAGGACGGATCAAGACGGGAACTCCACAGCTCTCAAAAATTAAAAACACATTCCAACCGTAATTCTTTAGTTTTTCTTCATTTTGAAATTTACAATATAGGGCCTTCTCTTCCAATAAGCCATACGACGCTTCGAAGGAAGAAAAATTCTCTTTTTTTTCAAGGGGGGGAAGGATAAAGTTCGTTTCTTCTGAGACGCTTTCGAAGCGTTCTCCGAAAATCGCGGTGCTTGTTGTTCCCGTTCGAAAAGAATGCACCGTCGTTATGGTGCTCGTGTTTCGGCGGGTGAAATTTCTCGCGCTCTCATCTTCTCTTTTTTGTTGCTGTTATTTTGCGAGGTTATTAGCGAGTCGACATGCGATTCTATTTTATGGAGCGCGAGTTCGTTTGCCAGCAACTCTTCCCTTTCGCGCTTGACGCTTTTTTCTGCGGTTTCGAAAACCTCGGGAAATCGGTACTTGAGGAATGCGATGAAAGCGTTTGCAGTTGACCTCTTTGTTTTTAAGCACAAGCACGACGCTTTTAAACCTGTTGCGGTTTATGCTGTGAAGAAAACTTTTTCTAGCTTTCCCCCCTGGTGACCGAGCTGCGAGAGAGAAATTTTCCGCTTTTACTGCGGAAAATTGATCGCTTTTCGGCGTTGCTGCAAGGTGGAATAATCACGAGCTGACCTATATATATATTTTTTTCAATTTTCCCGAACCTTTCCTCTAGGCGTGTGGTCGATTTTCCGGGGCGCGCGACGTTTGATAAGTAATTCAAGAAAATGGAAGCCGACTGAGCGATAGCTTGATTTCCCAGAAGATTTCTCGGCTCTACCTTCGGGCTTCAATTTTCACATCGGTTCCTTTCCTCGTTTCGTCTTCAACTCCGAAAATCTCATTGTACAATGGGGCCCCGAGATGCGGACGTATTCCTTGTCTGGACTTTGTCCCCATGTCGGAGCGTCCGCTATAGTCGGACCAAGTTTTCCCATAGACTTCAATGCAAACACATTTAATCGGTTCTCCTGTTCATCAATTATTGAATAAAAATTGTTTTCCTCAACTTCAAGATACAGTACATTAAATTAGTACGCAGAAGAAAATCATACACAATCTAATCTTTTGGCATCAAAGGGAGCTAAAGCAGAGAAGAACAAGCACAAGTTTTCCTTTACTGTTTACAGAAGATTGGAAAAACTCTGAAAGAAATATTCACAAAATTAAACGATTTATTATTGTGAATTGGAGTAAATTTATGATGAAATTTATTTTTAATTTCTGTGAATAAGCTAAATTTCTTCGAGATATCAAAGTTTTGTAAAATAAAATGCATTCATTTTTCTGGAAATGTTGTCGAAGTGTCCCTATCTCGAGACATTGCCCGTGTGTGAGGGCAGAGCTTCAAATGTCCGTAAATCGAATCGTCCGTATGTCGGGGTTCTCGCTGGATCCCGTATTTCTTTTTCGAATCTAATTAGTTGTTCCAGACCGGACATGCTTTTGGTGTTGTGCCAGGACCCGCATGTTCTGGGTATGTCTACCCATTTGTTGATATACCCGGTGGACGGGTCGATATTGCGTCCTGCGTTTTGCCTCGTCGGTGGTTTACAAGCCAGGCTTGATCGTTGAATCTCTCTCTCTCTCCTTTGCTTATGTGCGTGTAGGTGTGCGTATGCTGGACGGATTAGTGACAGACGCGGTGGAGGCCAAGTCCTTGCGGTTGAACCAAGATCACATCGACATCTACTCCGTGTCTTGGGGACCTGACGATGATGGCAAAACTGTAGATGGACCCGGGCCACTCGCCACCAAAGCCTTCATAGATGGGGTCACTCAGGTAAGTACATTCGTACACTGCAGTTCCTGACCTCGTCAAACAAAAATACCGGGAGTTCTAGAGCAAGGGTTTTCAGGCATTTCTACGTGGATGTACGAGGGTTGTCCCACCGCCTGGGTGCGGCCTAGTCATTTCTAGAGATTTTCTGGGTTTCTAGGTTCTGCGATTTTTTGTGGATGAAACAAATTCAATTTACTGCATGGATGAAAGGTTTTACTGATCAGCATGCAGCGAATTGAAAATTTGTTTTGAAAATCTAAATTAAAATTCTAGAACTTGGCAACATTTTCGGCTGTATTAGTATTTTTTTTACAGTCATACATAATCTAGAAATAACCAAGGTCGCGCTCAAGTGGGACAACCCTCGTATGGCAGGTGGTAAACGGGATTGCTGTGGAATTGAGGACAATCTTGCGTGCCACTTGCGCAGAGCCTCTGAGGACATAATAAAAATATATGGATCAAAACGTGCAATAATCTAGGACCTCTGGGCTAGAAAAAAAAAACGTGGTGAAGTGCAAAATTTATGAGGGGTGCATATCTCAAGTGATACTTGATTGAGAAGATGGCGTGCCTAAATTGCATGTCTTGAAAGTACAGTACAGTACAGTCAAACCTGAACAAGTCAAGCTTGAAGGGAGGGACCAGGAAAAAGACTCGAGTTAGGAAGGTTTTGGGGTTCAGGAAAACACATTTTTGTTCAGGGAAATGAAAGCAGGATTCCAGGGCATTCTAATTGGCGATATTCTGTGCCTTCCTTTGCTTCTTGAAAGAGTTGACGGGATGCAAAACTTGAGGCTAGGGCCCAGTTAGTCTTTCACTTCCTTTTAAAATACACATTTTTTTCTCTTTTCTATGTGAATAAAAAAATAGTCAAAAGACCTCCAGAAAAATGAAGTTGAGGAGGTTTAGCCTTCGAGCTGAGGAGATTTTTTAATGCATTATTTCTAAAAGAATTTAGTCATGGACTTGAACAAATTCGGCGTAGGTAGATTCGAGTTATCGAAGTTACACTGTAGTGCTAATCAATACGAACGTGTTGAAGTCGTGTCTATCTGATGATTCTCTTGGCCTGAAAAATGAAATCTCAAATTTTGACCTTACAGTAATTCCTTTTTTACGATGCTACATATTTTTTATACTTCACATGATCTGCTGATTCAGAGTAAAATAAATAAGTTTAAAAAACTAAACGTTTTTTGTTCTACCGGAATGGAAGGGTTTCTGGATTTAAACCCCTATATTAATCCTCTACAAAAATTAAAGCATTGTAAATTTATACTCTTGAGAGGAAGACAATGGAAAGTCAATAAAAATGGATGCTTCTTTGTGATTTCCTTGTCTATCCGCAGTAATTGAGTCCAAGCAAGCTGAAAATGCGCGTGATAGAACGCTTTTTGGAACGGATGATAATCGTGAAATGTAGATATTCCTTTCAGTGTGAAGCGAAACTTCGTCGCTTACTTTGCCGTCTGCTGGAAAATATGCTGAAGAATCTCTGGATTTTCATTGTCATTTTCGAGGAGTCGTAGAAGGAGTTTGTTTCTCTCGAGATTTGATTCAAGTTCTCGCGATTTCAATATTAATTTAAGCAATATTTTAACTCAATTCTTCTGCAGGGAAATTGCGACGATTGCTTTAATTACTGTACTTGACTGTCTGCTCGAAGATGTTAGGAATCGCCGGATTTTCTTTATTTTCGAGGAGTCGTAGAAGGAGTTTATTTCTCTCGAGACTCGATCCAATTTCTCGCGATTTAGTAATTGTTTTATGCAAGATTTTTACTTTTTCTTTCTGCAGGGTCGCAAAGGGAAAGGGTCAATATTCGTTTGGGCTTCGGGAAATGGTGGGCGTGAGCATGACAACTGTAATTGCGACGGCTACACGAATTCCATCTGGACGTTGAGCATCAGCTCGGCGTCGGAGCACGGAGACGTGCCTTGGTACTCGGAGGCCTGCTCTTCAACATTAGCTTCAACGTATTCCAGTGGGTCCACTTCAGAACGACAGGCAAGTTGCCTCTGGTTTTTTTTTTTTTTTCTGCCTCTGCGTAAATTCACTTGGGATATGAGGAAAGTCTTGCCATTTTAATTTTGTTATACTGTAGTTATTCAAGGGTGCTGTCCATTTTTTTATTTGAGAATTAAATGAATGAAGCAAAGTGTACAGGCGCCAAAATGAACGCTCAAGTCGTTTTTTTTTTCCTTTAGCGCAGAAATTTGATGAACGAACACAAATTCGTGAGAGCAGAAATTTTCATTTGAAATTGTTATTAAAGGTGGACTCTCTCTCTCTGCAATGATCTTGTTGACAACATTGTTCTCTGGACAATATAGTGATTTTTTTTTCATATGGGTTTCTCCCTTTGTTATATAGTGGTTCTCCAGAACGAAATTTTGTTTGGTCACTTTAATTTCGTTGTAGCGAGAATCCACTTGTAATATGCGCTTGAGCACGCTGATGGAGGATTAATTTTTGTCGTGCCATTTTTTTAATGACAAAAGTTTTGCTCTAGTTCCCCAAAAAAAATTCGCGTGGAAGCGTTTGATTTAGAGGACGTTGAATCCGAATATTTTTCTCCGGTTGCCGATAGCTTTTTGTGGACTGATTTCTTCTTTCATTGAAAATTTCCCGAAAATCGTACGGGTATTTTTGTGAACGACACTTCTATTTGTTTCCCTTTATATGCGCAAGTTGTAATTAAACATATTTATTCCTCTTTTGTGAATTTCTAACCACAACAAAACAGTTTTTCTGAGGTTATTATTCGTGTGCTCGAATCACTTGAACCCCGGCGGAATTTGTGCATCAAATAATCTTCTGGATATCCTACGTAATAATGAAAATTTATATATCTCTAATCGTAATGTTGTTCACATGAGATTGGTTGGAAATTTGATATTTTTGAAGAAAAGACGAAGAATTCCCGCGTCGATAAAAAAACGACATGGGAATAGAAAAAATATTTGCATGGAAAACGAAAAGTCTCGCAACTTTCGCAGCGTCGGCGGCATTTTGGACAGAAAGGCAAACACTAACCTCGCCTTATGCAGTATCAATGCGGAGAAAGTAGGTCATGCTCAAGCGCAGGTTTCACGCGGCAACTTCTTTTAATTTTGCGCTCCAGTAAAATTTCCCTGTTTTCTTTCTTTCATTTTTTGGAATAAAACGTATACTTCCTGTTGGGAGATTCATTTTCTATCTCCGCTGCGGAAACAAACATCAAATAGAAAGCATCCAAAATGGGAGTTACTTTTATCCAAGACAAGGAACGTATAAACTGGAAGTTCCAGCACGAAAACCCGGAATGAAGGTCTGAGACTCTGAGGAGCTCCGTCGTAAATGCCGTTTTCTGAGAATACCTTCAAGACCCACCGATGTTGGAACTCGCTGTTTTACGGGATTTTTTTTTTTTTTTTTTTTTTGCGCGTGTTCCTTGTGTTCCAGGTTGTGACGACAGATTTGCATCACGGGTGCACACAGACGCATACGGGAACTTCTGCTTCTGCTCCGTTGGCTGCCGGAATTTGTGCCTTGTCCTTGGAGGCGAACAATGATTTAACTTGGCGAGATTTGCAGCACATTGTTGTTCGCACAGCGCGACCGGAAAACCTCAACGCGCCTGACTGGCAGGTCAACGGGGTTGGGCGAAATGGTGAGGCTTTCTTGATTTTCGTCCATGTCCTGCACAATACCGGGTGCGAATCCATTCGGGATGGGTTGCTCATTTATCTGATACAGTATTTTCTACAGTCGAAGCTCTTGAAGTCGAACTTCAAGGGACCAGCAGAAAAATTCGCGTTAGGGAGATTTTCGAGTTGAGGAAACAAGAATTTATGTTGGGGGAGAGAAGAGATTTGTACTTGATAATATTCTGGGCCTTAAATTGCTTTTTAAATGAGTTTACGGGTTGCTGGATTTTGTTTCAAGGGTTCACTTGCCCAAATAATCCCTCACTTCCTCTAGGAACGCAAAAAGTTAAATTTTTATTGCGTTTCTCCTCCATGCTTCAATAAAATATTGACCAAGAGGCATCCAGAAAATTTGACTCAAAGGAGAGCCTTCGGATCGGGGAGGTTTTTAATTAAATGTTTCAGACACAGACTCGAAAAAATCAATCAACTTATGGAGGTTAAAAAAAATCAAAGAGCGCATCCAGAGATGCCGAAACTTTTCCCTTGAGAACTTTTCCTTATTACGAGTTGTCTCATGTAATTTTATTGTTTTTAATTTTTTGCAGTGAGTCATTCATTCGGGTACGGGATGATGGACGCCTACGCGATGGTGAAATTGTCTCGGACGTGGCGCAGAGTCCCGCCGCAACAAACTTGCCACATTCCGGCCACCCATTTCAACAAGAAAATCCCAGCCAAATCTCAAGTGAATTTGGCGCTGGAAATCAAGCCATCCGACTGTCCAAATATAAATTATTTGGAACACGTTCAGGTGAGAACTCTTTTGGCTTACTGTATTCAGTCAATTCTTTAAATCTGCAATCCACACTTTTTGAACAAAAACGGAGAGGAAAGCCCCTTTACTGAGAATTTTCAAGCATAATCCTCTTATGCAATGTATTGGATTTACACTCCACACTTTCTGAACAAAAATATCTATATCAAATCTGTTTTTAAAACTCCTTTAGCAAAAAAAAATGCATCTCCTTGGTTAATAAAGCGAAGCGCCCTTTCTCAACCATCAGCTGAACGAATTTAAAACTTGAGATTTTAATCATGCCCAAAAACTCTCATTTGGAAATATATACAACTTTTTCTGTTACTATATATTCTGACGTGAAACAGTAAATAGCTTCAGTTTACAAGCATACAAACATGTAGCACTTCCGTAACTGGTCAATGTGGAATGCATCGCTGCTCTGCGAAAGAAACTCGCTCTGACTTTGCAAACATGCAATTTGACGAAATATATCAGTATACACAATGCTTTTTCATTGAATTTCTATACTGTATTAATAATTAAATTGTTCTAAGAAATTCTCTTGTGAGTGCCCTACGAGTTCGTTTTAACGGATACTACAAAACCGCCGTTCTTATTCTTGATTGAAATCTCAGTTTTAGAATGTTGATTTCGAACGGTAAAGTAAATTTCAAGATGAGAAATACAGTACAGTACTGTATCAGCGGAAGAGGATTGATGTTCGTGCCGCCGTTTTCCCTTTTTTTCTTCCCTGAAAAATAATTGCGCTCGTGCAGATTTGTTCATCATGAATTCGTCAGGGATCGTGAGGTTGCCTAGCATAGAAGATTACCTTTGCACGCGTGGTTCTTAATCACTGCGAAATGGAATAAATATTTAGCGGGGGGAAACAAAGAGCGACGGCATTGAATAATGGTTTTTGGACGCGGATAAGCTGTAATTCCTTTGGATGTAGCAAGCCTCGATTTCTCGGGCTCTCCGTCGCCCAATACGAAATGAATGTCGAATTCTCTTATTTTGAAAGTCCTGGAGCCACAGAGCAGTACCGTGAGGAAATAGATGGCATTATCATTCCGGAGAAATGAAAAATTCATGCGCTTCGTGTGGGCAGATATGAGTTAACCTAGTTTTTGGGCAAGCTTTCAGTACTGATGCAGGCTTGACCATCGCCGATTTCTATCGAAAAAAAAAGTTTTTCCGGCGACTTGTTATTTTTTTCGAAAATCATGAGGGGGTGGGGGATTTCCCTCGAAATGTCCCCCGTATTGGATGATTTCATGAAGAACTGTTTCGAAACGTTGGCCTGATTGACGGCCGACGGATTTCGTCGGAGTTTGTGACTCAATCCGGCTTGACTCGTACAGGCGAAGATCACGTTGCGGGCGACGCGTCGGGGAGACATGGAGATTTATCTGACTTCATCTGCCGGCACGCGATCGACACTGCTGGCACTCCGTCCTCAGGACACGTCACATGCCGGGTTCACGGAATGGCCGTTCATGACGGTTCATTCGTGGGGCGAGAACCCTTTCGGGTTCTGGCAGCTGGAGATCCACAACGAAGGACGTTACTTGGGTGAGTTGACAACTCCCAACTTCGCGGTTGTGGTGCTAAAGAGGCTCAAAGATGGGGAATCTGGGCGCGTTGTTTTTTCGGTTGCGACTTCGTGCATTGTCATTCTCATCGATGTCCCAAAAAGTAGGATAAAATCATTTTAAAAATGTATGGTTTACGAAATATTCCACGATATCTTCATGAGGGAAAAACTGAAAGATAACTTGTCAATTTCGGATGCTGCGTTTCCGCAATTGTGCAATTCGTGATGCGGAAATTGAAACCCTACGAGGATCACATTTTGCAATGGAGCTTTTATAATGGAATCCAATTTTTTGAGGAAGTTCGACGTCGAGGTCGGACTTGGAAATTCAATTAGTGGTTGGAATGTCGGGAAACGTGTAAAAAATGTTCTCCACCGAGTTCGAATCTTTCCCGGATTGCCATTATTTTTACAGAACCCCTTGATATAAAAGAGTTGAACCCGGGAATCATGCTGCAGTACTTTTTTATGGGTGATAAATCCTGTCTTGACCTTCAGTGAACATATATAGAGTCGCAACCGTAATAAACGTTTCTCGGACGTCCTTTTCTTTCTGCCATTTTTTGAGAAAACCTCGAGTTGCTAGTCGCTTTCGGAATAAAGATAATCGGGATTGATTGGGCTTGCATGTTGCCCGCGTGCTTTGCGGACTCGGGGGTGCTGGTCTAACTTTCTGGGGGGGTCGGTGTTCTGGGTTCGGGGGTTGTTGGCGGGCATGCAGGACGTGCGGATCTGGTGGACTGGTCCTTGATATTGTACGGGACCAAGGAGCGGCCCGAGGACTACGTGGCGGACGCGGAAGTGGCGGAGTCGGAATCGGACTCGGATGACCTGATGCGGGACTACGATGCTCTGCGGAAGCCGCATCGGGGTCGGAACCCGTCCCCCGGGCCCACCAACAATATCCACACCCTGGACACCAAGGACTTTTACGCCCCGCATCACGACGTCCGGCTCCAGCCGGCCCGCAGCGAGGGTAACCGCTCCTTTTGGACGTTCGCCGCCGCCGTCATGCGCTGGCAGCCGCCGCGGCAGCAGCACGGCCCGTTTTAGGCGGCCATTTGCGTTTTTTTTGGTTTGGTCTTGTGTTGCCCGTTTTCTGTCCTGCCTTGCCGAGCATGCCTCCCTTGTTTTCCCGAGCGGGCTCGTCGCCACGCCACCCGTGAACAGCTGGAAGGGAATTTGGCCCGTGTCTGCCCGTGTAAAAATGCCACTTGCTTTAGAATATTCAACTCCGGACTTTTATGACGGGCCGCAAAAATTGAAGGAAGAAAAATTGCATGCGAGTGCGAAACGCGCTTTTGATTGCATGGAATTTATTCAGAATTCCTCGGGGGACTTCACAGCGTGTTGCTTTTCAACAGAAATCAGCATTGTAACGTTTGTTCCCTTGAAATGATAGATTTTAACAGGCTTGTTCGTTTGAAATTTAGTCTTTATATTTTTAAATTGCATTCGTCATGCACTTAGAACACCAAGGAATGTGCGAATGTAAGTCGCGTCCTAATTTTTATTCAAGTCTCAATTTTTTTAATGCGGTCTATATCCGAGTAAATGCGGTCAACTTTCGTTCACGAGCCCCTTCTTTGTAAGTTCGCACGCCTTAATGGTTAGTTTATCCAATTGAATCACCCCTCACTCGGATTTGGTGAACATGATCGGTCCAAAGGTTTGGTAGAACATCGTAAAAGAATTGCTGTTTTCCATGGTTCCGTAATGCAAAAATCGTGAAATACTGTACACTCCTGTCGATGACACTTTATAGGCTAGTGGATCCATCATTTCACAAATGAAGTCTCCAGATAATGTTTTTAAATTTGTTCATTCGTACAAGCCGCTTGTGAATATTTGAGAGCGATGCAGTTTTAACGCCAACGAAAGGTTTGTGTTAAAACTGAACAAAGAATGAATGAAATTATTGTACAGTATTTCACTATAATACCCGGGTGGACACGGACCCAATTTAGATATGATTTGAATGCTGGAGAATTCTCGCAAATGATTACTTGAGACGCCTGGGTCAATTTTTCAGAATTAAAAATGTGCGCTTCCAAAGTGTTTATCGCGTCCATCGATAAATTCGCAGTAGAATCTAAGCTAAAAATTGAAGCGTGGCAACCATTTTAATTCCTGTGTGCCTAAACTATTTCATGATCAATGATTAAATGCTCATGCGTATGGTTTGTAACTTTCATTGGAGCAGGTACTTCAGAAATTTTTTTATTCAAATTGAAAAATGCGGTGTCCGCAAAATCTCTCGTAAAAAAGTGGACTATTGCTAAGAATGATCCAGAAGTGTCCTGATTTTTTGATTATGCACACTTCATCGGAAATTCTGGGTTTATTGAAGCAGAAATTTCAGGTGGAACGACTTGATAATCGAAAATGCCGATAAGATTTGGCAAAAAAAATGTCAAGTAGTCGATTTCGTGGAAAATTAATCATTTTCCCGTTTGATCACCGCATAGGGTGCAAAAGTAGCAGAATTTTAATGATTACATGAGCATTCTTTTGCAATTTTTTTTATTCTCGCTCATCGCTTCGATAGCAGCTTAACCATTGGCGAGTACGTGAAAATTGTGAGAAATCTCCGGCATTAGAGAATTCAGATTCAAGGATAGAGCCCGCCCATGACTGCATTTTGCGGTCGTGTGTTTCTTTCCCTATTTTTCCCTACCTATAGAAATCTGACCCATTTTCTAGTTGAAAGTTTTATGTAAGCATGACCTGTGATCACAAATGATTGAACACGTTCTTGCATGAAAGATTCTTTGCGGTTTGCTCGCCGACCACGTCGTGGTGCAGGATCTAACTTTCTAGGGTTCTAGTGACCATGGGTCTGGCGTCGACATCCGAATACCCCGTCGTTTTTCGTCTGATCGAGTAATATTCGAGTCTTGCCTCAATTTCACTCCTAACTGTTCAATGTTTCAGTTTTCTGCAGTCCTCGTGTGCTTTATTTTTTTCCCTAGAGAAATTAATCTGATATGTCATGGTGCGTATGTTTCCTGTCTGTGCCTTCGAGCGTCGTTCGGGGATTAGATTTGAATAACAGCTGCTGAATCCATGGCCCTTGAACAATGTCTAAAAATTACTTAGGTCAGCATTTTTGGCGTGTTTCAATCCTTTGTTGAAACATTTGCGGATACTAGGCTAAATTGTGTGCTGAATGTGGAAAATAAAGTTTTAAATTTCTGCAAGCTGGAAAACGACAAGTATGTGGTCGTATTTTATTTTATCAAAATTCAATCGATTCTTCTTGAGTTATCGAGTGTAAACTTTATTACTTTTACGAGTATATCCATCCGAATTTTGTGCGTCTGAATTCCCTGAATATTGCTTGCTGCGCTGTTAGCTCTCTTCACTAAAAGAAACGTTGGTTCGTTGTATGAATATGCGTTTGAAAAGGAGTATATTTTGAGAAAACGTGGACAACGTTTATTTTTGAAAAAAAAAAATTTTGAGGCCGTGGTATTGCCGGTGGTGTTTGCATGTGATGCCTGTTTTTTTTTTTTTTTTTTTTACCCTTGTTGCCTGGTAGTTCAGCGATTGGAGGCGAATATTGTGATGATCGGAGTATTTGAAACAGTTGTGGTGTTTTTGTTTTGTACGTACTTGATGATTTAGAATGTGGGGTGAGGGTTTTTGTTTTGGGTTGTGGATGCCCGGTTAAATAAATCGATGCTGCATTTTGTTTCGCAAGCCAGTTTGCGAAATTGGATTTCCCGTCTGGTGCTCTCGAATCAAGCAGCTGCTGAAGCGTCTTTTTTGCTAAGCTTAGATTCTATGAAATGTTATCATAATGTTCAAATTGAGCAATTTTTTGGTGATGGTTCCCTTCGATCTTTCAATAACCGCGCTTTAAAGATCCGTAGTTCTTTTTGATGACTTTGAATCTGCAATCTTACTAACCTTTCAAAAGTAAAGCTGCTCTTCCTAAAAAAAATTGTCCATTTTTCCCAGGTCTTTTTTTTTCCGTAATGTAAGAACTCGATGGGGTGAGTTAGCAATTTTTTCCGATTTTAAAATTGCACAATTACAAGAATTAATTATGTTGCGAATCGGATTTTAAGCTGAACTATTAGAGTTTGTTCCCTTGGATTTCTGCGCCGCCCTGTGCAGAAAGTTTGATTTGAATTCAGTCGGCCCAATTTTTAAAATAGATATCCCTATTGAAATGTCCAATTTTTGGGCCGTAGAGAGTACCGTATATTTGAAGATAAAGCGTTCATATCTCTAGGGAAATATTAACATTCAACTTTAATGCACGTTCTTGCATTTGAAGATTCGATGCCTGCGGACTTGCTTGATTGGAGAAGCAGCGAAGGGGTTTGGAACAATATGACTGACAGATCTCTTTCGTTTTGTTGAATTCTGAAATCCAGCGACACTCGAGAAATGGGACCTGGTGATGTACGGCACGGAGACGAAACCCTCGAACCTGCCGGACGAGCGACCCAAGATCCAGCCAGAAATCGTCAACAACGGCCTCCCGAGCGACGTGAGCCAGTTCGACATCGGCGACAGCCGACAGACTCACGGACGCCCGACAAGCCCCGAGAGCACTGACGAACCCTATGGAGATTTCAGGTTCCCCGATCCTCCGCATAACCCTTCTGAATTCGCAGGTCAAATCGACTCGGGTGCCAGTTGTTGGCGACCTGGGGCAGCGCTTGTGTTCACCCTGCGAATCGCTGCCTGGCTTTTAGCGCGTTGAAGGATGCCTTTTTTTCTTTTTGGGTTCCCCAGATGTCGCTGCTCGTGTTTTTTCCCTACGTCCACTTACGCAATCCTCAGGGCGACTTGTCGGAACCGAAGTGTCGGCATTGACACTTGAGCTTGAGTCATCTGAACGCATGACCCTTCATTTTTTACTTCCATTATTAAATTACATATTTTTAGTACATTAGGTAGGCAGTGTAATGTATGTGTGGAAAAGTCAAACAGTTTGAAGAAATGTTTGAGCGGGATGTACTCGGCTAGATTTAAAATACAGTACTTGTATAATGTATTTTGTAGCATAATTTTTTTATGTCTTCCTCTTTCGTGCTGCAATCACTGCCAACTTAAACCTGTGCTCAATCAAGTGCGCATCGTTATTTTGTGGTATAAAATTTCTTACTCGAATGATGAAATTCTTTTAAAACTACTGTAGAAACTTTTTGACATTTTCTCTAAGAAAGTATGTCTTCCTTTCTCACTTCAATGTCCTAAATCGTAATTTTTGCTTTCCGTTTTAGGAATCGTGAGTTTTTCCCCTAAAATTCCCGCGGTCAACATTTATTATCGTTGCATTTCTTGGATTAAGTTAGATCCCTTCTGTTTAGTTTCGATTTTAAGTTTACTGATTCTGACGGCGAATTTTGATGACTTGTGATCAGGTGTCAGGCGACATTTTGGATTGAATCTGTGAAAGATTTCTTTTTTCCGAGAAGCGAACCAAAGACTGCTCGAGCAGGAAGTGTGCCTTCCCCCGCAGACGCGCAATTCACGCATTTGCACAATTCGTCTGCGTGACGCCCTCTCGGGTTTTTTTTCCTTTTACCTTATTTTATTTTTTGCGAATCCAACCCGAATGCTTCGGATTCATTCTGGGGACGAATGAATGCCGCAGTTACCAGAGGTCCCCCCACTTTCGGCTTGTCTTTCAGTAGCCGCTCTTTGAAGCCCTGACGTTTGATGGATCATCGTCGTTTTGAAAGGAATTTTTTGCGCTTTGGTCAGCATGGCGGCTGCCGTTTGTTTATTGGTGTAAGCTCGTGACACACAAATACACGATTTTAATCGCGAGGTTTCGAATCTCGGCGAGGCATTTTTGGAATTCCAATGAATGGTTTCGAGCTTCCGGGTTTCGAGCACGGTTTTTTTTTTCGAGTCTTGACCTACAATTTGAATTTTATCATCTCGGAGGGAGGGTCGAACATTGCGCTTGAGCCGCTGGCCTACGGGTTCAAAAGGCTTTGGCTTGGTGGCATTTTAATGCATTGATCGCTGCTTGGTAACTAATTTTGCGAGTTCCCCAAAGCTCATTTCCGTCGGAAGAGCTGTAAAGAATGCCTGGAATGAGATCATTACTTGGCGGGAACGGCAGAAATAATTACCTCGTGTTTTGTGGGGGGCTTATTGTTCTTTCTGGGACCAGTCCGAATAATTTTGTGTTGTTTAATGTCATGATTCGCCCAGATTCGATTATCCAGGAAGGAAGGACCATGGATTCCCAGAAAGCGCAAAATACCCATTCTCGTATTTTTTCCAGATCTGAATTACGTGTTTTTTTTCTGTTGCTCAGATCGCAGTATTGGGAGTGATGGCTTTAAGTTTAGTGCGTTGTGTAAAAGATTCTTTTTTTTTGTAGAAGAGGGCCGCGATTTTGGATTCTGTCGATTTTTTTAGCGCTTGCCGTTTTAATTTTGGCGTGGGAGAAGGAAACGATGACTCGTGTTTCATTGGCTTGGCGGTGTGGTTTTTTTTTTTTTTCGACTTCGGCGTAGATTTGAGCCGTGCCGTGCCGAACAGTCTACGTCGGGTCCGTCCGACGGTCCGACCGCTTTCTTGTCAGGCTGTGAGAGATTTTAGTTTAGAATATTCATGTTGTCGCTCGGGTCCCGTTTCTGTAACTGAAAATTTTGTGGATCTAACTATGTTTGTGCAATATCTGGTTTTCTTATTCGTTTCTCCTGACTTTTTCGGCGAGTTTGTGATACTTCGATCAACATTTCTGCGTTTTGTCACGGTTTTATGTCAGATGCGTATTTGAAAGGGCTCAATGGCGAAGCAAGGGTGTCGTATAGGGATTCTAGGAATGCGCGATGGGCTTGTGAAGATCTTAAATGCGCCGGCGATTTTCACTAGTAGGGAGAAAATGAAGGCGTCTGATCCTTTGTTGAAATAGTTCCTCGAAGCTCACGCAGCACGTTGCAGTATTTGTGCAGACGGGTTTTTGTTTCAGTGAAAGTGTTACCGGCAAGTACGAATTTGAAAGTCGTTTGGCGTGCTTATCCAGTCTTCGGTCAATCACAGAAATGCATCTTGATCTGATAGAACCTACCACAGAAGGAAGTCATCGCGTAGTTCAGTATTATTTGTCCTCTCGTGAATGTCCCCCCCTTTTTTTTTCTGCCTTCGCGAGAATTTTCCTGTGATAGACGAGTTCTTTGCGTTTTTTTTTCTGAATTTTTCTTTGATCGAGCGCGGTTTGATGCGGCGTCTGTGATGCAGTTTTATTTATTTTACTCGGAACAGGGCGCGAATGCCCCTGATTTCTTTTCTTGCCAATTTTGGTTGCAGACCCTTTTTTAGGAGTCAGCCGGTTTCGTCCGGTTTCCTTTGATCCCTCTCATGGGAAATTTTTGTTCGCTACTTATTTCTTCACATATCAATTATTGTCGCGTTTATCTTTCCGGTCGTCCTTGATCCTATTTTTCACGAATGGAATTTTGATGGAAAGAGTACCGGGAAATACATACCAAGTGATTCTCTCGAAAAGGAAGCTGATGACTCATTTCTTCATATTTTATGCGATTATGTATCTCTTTTTTTTCCTACAGGTTTATTTGGGATCTTTTGGACTACACGGAAAGACGCCCTCAGTCCTGAGTCAGCATTGCAGTGACATCTGGGTTTACTTTGTTGAATAAGGAATCGTGACGAATTTTCTGTCCTCGTGGTTGGCACTAATAAAATCATTTTCTTGGACCGATTGACAGACGTCCAGGTGAGTTCGTTGATGCTTTCTGGGTCTAAGTGGTAATATTGAACAAGTCTGAAAATCGGGGTTTCACCTCGATTTTTGTTCCGAATAGTGAGGATTGCAGATTTAATAAATTCCGTCAGCGTTCCCCTACCTTTTTAAGGCTGCTGTGGGCTGGCAAATTGCTGGAAAACATTTTTTTGCTTCAATATGTTTGTGGTCTATGCAGGGAACGACATTCATGATTGCATACCCTTATTATTCGATTGTCAATTCAATCCCCGGAAGTTGAATGAATAGAGGAATATACCGAAGAACACAATTTTGAGCTGTAAAATTTATGCACAGCGTTGAAAGTGTTGAAGAAAAACTTTTTAGTTCTGTACTTTCTATACGTATGATTGATCAAAGAAATATAAGAGTTTATAATTGAAGAACGCTTACATCTGTGAGAGAAGACACCTAGGAATCCTTCGTAAATTTTTCTTAAAAATTGAAGCAGGAAATGAAGAAGCATTCATTTCAAGAAAAGGGAACATTTCTTTGCTATCACTTGTCATAGAACATTCAACAGATCTCTAAAGTAATTTTCAGTTGCAACCCTACTTCATCTTTTTGCGATGGCAAAATTTACTTCACTTATTTGGAGAGCGAGAGATTTGTAACGTGAGGTTGAATTTGTCCCTGCTATATACTATACTACAAACAAATAAATCGCCTACAAACAAATAAATCGCAAGCATTTGGATGAACACAAACCATGGAACGTAGTACAGTAGAGTCTTGCTTTTACCGCTTCTTGAACTTCAGGGGGAAAATTGTAGATGAAAAACTCCAACTGGACTGAAGATGACTTCATTTTCTACATTTCTAATTTGTCCTTATCTACTCGTATGGCCTGCTTCAAACTAGCACACCATCTTATCTTTTTCAAAAATTTCAAGGGTGTTTGAGCAAATTCATGAAAGAAGAAAACCTGTCAGAAACAATGTTTCATCTTGATTTCACGTCAGAAAGTATGCCATTCAGCTCAACTACATCAATTATGCTGAAAAAGTAATCAGGAAGAGGATTTCAACTTTATTTCAATTTCAAAAGTGTGGTTTGCTGATTTCTAAAATGCAAGTTTAAGGGGGTTTTGAGCAAGTTCACAGCATAGAGATACAAAATACTGTATCCTGGAAAGCAATTTTTCATCGCAATTTTGCCATGTGGGAGGCAGGGCATACCTGTTACAGCTTACTTCAGGTAAACCCCTGTGTTGGGTAGAAGAGTATACAACAGTGTGTTCTGTTTAAACTAAAACCCAGTTACAATGAACTCCCCAAGGTAGGGATCACTCCCCCCCCCCCCAAATATTACAAAATAACCATTCCTCTTTACATATTATCACTCATCTTAATTTTGCCAAGGAAAGCATGCAGTGCAGCCCAAATACATCAAGTATAACATTTTTTCCACAAAACACTGATGGATGCAAACATTCGAGAAAATCTGTTATTGGTTGGCTGCTTTGATTTCATTGATGCTGCATTAATGTGGCTGTAGTCAGGAGTCATTTTGGTCATTGGAGCAGGGCACAAAACTCATGTACCTTATTCAGTGAAGTACCACGTCCTAAACTTGTAAAACTTTTCGGTTTACCTGTCTCTCACAGGTACCCCTTTTTAAAGCTTTTTTTCTTATGAAATTTGTAACAAAAAGGTGCGTATGGTACTCGAGTAAGTGCGGTATCTAGGACTTATGTCACTCTTAATTTCTTCAACGCGCTCGTAAATTTACTGTAGACGTAGTGCTGAAGAATTGAAAAGTAAACGGAAATAAAAGAACCGACCATGATAATTACCGACGATTTCAACTATCGAAAAATTGAATTCGTTTGAGTTTCCCAACAATGGAAGTATAATTTCGGCCGTCAGTTGCAGCTGGACTTCAATGAAGGACTGGATCGTGTAACAGTGTTATTGTGGAGGGGATCCCTGATCACACGTATAAACGCGTATATACTGGGGATATTTCGTAGCACAGAGTCTTTCATTTGAGAGTAACCTGATCGCGAAGCTTGAGTTGTAAACATCCCCACATGCTTTCCGTAGAGTTTATCAAACTGTTGCGACGTTATCTATCGCCCTAGATGCGTCGTTTCATCTCGGGTTATCAATCTCTATGCATTACTTCTCAGTGAAAGTGTATCTATAATGGACGAAGCACGTCTTGCGTTTCAAAAATGAATAAGTTTTTCCTCTCTGTGCAATGTAACAATCGCTCAGGTATTGAATATCGCGTGGTGTGGCTCACTGAAGCTTAGAAACCCTCGGGAGTTTCAATTCCGTTGAAGTAACATGACCGGTCTTCCCGAGATACTTTGGTTGTTCGTTGCATACTTCGGTTTTAGTCTTGACTCTTGACAACTTCTCTTTTCAAAGTCAAAGCATGTCCAACAGCAAGAATGGAGGAATTGAATCGTACCAAAGTTATTCCACGAAACCCCCCAATGTATTCTCAGCAGATTGCTTTAGTCAGGAGTTCTTCTGTGATACTAAGCAGGTAATATCACTGATGAAATCAAGAAAAAAGTGTTCAAGGGTCATGAAAAATGTTACTGGAAAAACTGTGAAATTATTGATAGAAATATACAATGGGGTCTTTGCTTACAAACGTAATACATTCCTGAGCAAAGTTTGTAAGCTGAATCATGTTTTCCATAAAGAAAGTAGAGGAATAATTTCAATTGGTTCCAGAACCTTGAAAGTGCCTATGAAAAATCTAAAAATTCATCCTAAAAATTCCTACTAGGCCTAAACTCCACAAAATTTTCCCAAATAAAATTTAGAAGTAACAGTAATTTATGTGCTGCACAGTTCAGTTCTGACCTGTGTCTGTAAACAGAAAAAAACATTTCAGACAATATCTGCAGTGCTATTCTGTATTTAGTTACAATATCATTTAAAATACATATTTAAAAGGAGAAGACTAATGAAAGAAAAGCAGATTGAGAGCATTATCAAGAAAATACTCCTAAAAATAAAACATAAATGAGCAAATAAAATGAAAATGGTGCAAAAATGTTTTTAATTAGTGATTCCAGCCTCAATAATTGCAGTAGAATAAAAATAAAATATTACTGGGAAATAGGGGCTACTGAGCCCAGGGACAGAAGATAGGGGACAGATATGTTTGACGGTGCACACTCAAATGCTCTTAGGTTCGTAAGCTGGGTCAGGGTTTGTTAGCCAGAGCTGCTCAGGCCAAACCTGAAGAACATTATCTGGAAATTTTTTTTAGCCAGGCTGTTCATCAGCCGAAACCACACTGATCAGTCCGTGAACTAACGCAACGACTGACTTGACAAGGTGTGACTCATTTTTGAATATCGGCGATACTTACGGTATTCCAGAAATAAAGAAAAAAGTTAGAATTTTCGGTATTGCAGTTAGTGAAAATTACATTAATCGCGTGTGTCCACGCAAAAGCATCAAATTCATGCAAGGGGAAATGCCACAATTACAGCTTTAATTCTCGCTGTGCTTTACACGACTGATGGGGAGAGGACACTTTTCCAGTCGTGATTCCTGGAAATGAAAATTTAAAGAATTGATTCCCCGGTATCCTTTTCTGTCAATCAAACCGCCAATGAACTTCGATTAATTGCTTCCGTATCACTAGTGATGCGCGAACTTGTCAGAAACAAATGTTTCAAAAATACAGTACCGTACTTGTCCCTTGATGGGAGTTTAAAGTACTGACTTGGAAATTTGACTGGGCTGCGTTTTCTTTTGTGAGTAATAAACGTGATGCATTTTTCCTTCGAATCTTTGAAAATTTTAAATCTTGTCCCTGAACCGACTGTTGCAATATCACAAACATGAGGTTTCTTTTTGAAAATTTCAAGATGAATAAGTGATTGGCTGACCCGGAAACCATCAAAATGTTAAGATCCTTTGTGTTTTCCATTTCCATTTTTGACTAGAAAGTAACCTCTGTCATCGAATGTATTCGGGAATCTCGTGGCAAATTCCACCCTTCTTCGAAAATTGTTTAGAAGCGTACAATATAATCTAGTTTTAATCAAGGAGCAATAAATTCGTATTACGTCATCATATTTACAGACGTAGCCTTGTTCCAGATGAACGGATTGTTCGAACCGGTTTTCTATGTCTATCTCCTCAAAAGAAAAGAAATGCGCAGCAGGTGATTGACTGCATAATTACCATCTGGTCCAACATTTCAATGTCGAGTAGTCTATTTGTATTTATCAATTTTTAACAGCCATCGATCTCCATAATGCTGGACGTAGCATTGAATCATAATTGATGCCTCGATCTTCCTTTACATCTACTGCGAAGGTCATCAGTCTTCAGTACTTTTATTCGATGTGCATAATACAGTAATTTAAAGTCGTTTCTGGTTTACACACGTCAGAATAGCCTCCAGCAGTACAACTTTCGTTGACTGAAGTTAATACAGTACTGTAAATACGTCGCTTCTTCGAAATGAAAAGTACTGCAGTACTGTAAACAGTGTCGATGGAAAATTTTCTGCGGCGAATCGGATGAGACTTTTCTGAAGGCAATTGTAATATTGTATATTCCTTTGTATAGAACAGACCCCAGAAATCCAAGTTTCTAAAGAGCGCTCTGGAAACTGGGAAGAATTTCCAGGGTAGGTTTTTTGTAAATATACTGTATATATATTTAGGTGCAGTAGCACGATTTCCGCGTGAAAAAAATAAATCAGCAGCTTCGATTATCAAGAAACTATATTTTGGCAAAATCTCAGAATTTCTGCACATCTGATACACGAACTGCAGTCACTATCTCTCGCGTTGTATATCAAGATCCTCATTTAGATGGCGCACCATTCAAAATAAATTCCATTCAAATTCCTGTTCGGGGCTCATCGCTCATGTTATGCAAAAGTTAAATCTCCGAGAAGTGCGCGATGGGAAATAATAAAATTCAAAATATTTGCACTGTACTCCCATTTTTCTGCGGTACTGGAGACGCACGGGTATTTTTCTGTATGCTTTAAGGTATTAAGGATAATTTAGATATTCATTCCTCTGGCGCCGCCCGAAGCAGAGGAATGGAGCTGGCAACCCAAGACACAGGAGCTTATTATGCATTCCTGCGATTATCGCATAGTATTTCTCTTTTGCCTTAGGGTGAGAGAAAAATATGAAGTTCAGCAGTGTTGTTCATGTGGGTTACGTCTTCTCTACTGTGCTTGTTGCTCCAAATCAGCTGTGAGGCAAAAGCAATTCAGTGTCCCCATTTCCTCCTTCCTAGGGTTCCAGCTCAGTGATGCCATGAAAGAAGCACTGTAGTAAAATTTCAGCAAAATTTCACAGCAGTATTTTTGAGGGAAAAATATCGGAACGGTAACTTGAAGTTAAATTTTGTCCAAGTGTTGGATAAATAAATTGACGGAATGCTGAACTTGAAATAAGGGGTACATTTACCCGATGAGTCGATCACTCACATATTTTTGGAAAACATACTGTAGTGTTAAAATTTTATTGCTTTTCGGTCGTCCCTGATACACTGTGCTGATATTTTATCCATTGTTCTAATAAAAGTGCAGTAGAATCTTGTGAAAACAAATCTCGGTAGAACAAGTAATCTTTCACAAAAAGTCATTTCTAGATACCTGCCCAACAGGCACAATTTTGAATTAGTTAATTTTTAATTAACAAGGTGTAGGCATGCTCAGCCACACTTGGGCATCAACTTTTTTTTTAATTTGTTGGAAGTTTGAATGCCTAATTCATCAGGATCACATGTTATTCTAGCTTCACCATGCAGGTCACAATTTTCTCATGAGCAGGGTTTTTTATTTGTGTAAGCCTGAACAGATTATAAAGTCTTAAGCTTAATGTAGAACCCTGTTCACTTACGATTTAACTGTAGTAGCACAAAGTTAGAACTGAACTAAATCGATGGTTGACTGTTATCCGTTCTGATTGTCCCAGGAAATTTTTCAGCAGCAGCAGGCGTAAAAATTTTGCAAACATCTCCCTCAGCACCATGAGAGAATTGTTTTCGTCGGATTAATTGTTCTTTTATGATTCGATGAATGAATGACTGCCTGCTGGCGCCAACGAGCGCCCGCACTGAATTGCGGAATTCCCTGTAGAGAACTCAGAATCATGTGTGTGAGGTACTGCACATGTACCTGGCTGGATTCAGTCGGCCTTGCGACGTTGCGTGAATATGCGACATCCCTGCTTTCACGGAACCGTTGGTAACCCCAGAGGTGTTTGCTCCCAGCCGAGGCGCACAGAAAAAAAGGTCGGGCGCGCACTCGTGCCCTGTTTGCGCCGCGGAACACAGAACGCCGCCGTCTGTTCCGCCAGTGCCTGCCTGTGAGCAGGATAGTGCCGCGCCTGAGTGCGAGTGAGTGAGTGTACGGGTTCGGGCTCGGGTTCTGTCCGCTGTTGGGGAAATCCCCGGGGTCTCCCAGCTGCTAATCTCGCAGCCAGGATAAAGCCACGGTTCGTCGGGTTCCATGGACGACGTCGTGCCGCCCGAATCCATCGTGAGTATGCTTCGTACAGTGTATGTATGGGTGTCCCTGTTTCCGGCGGCGAAGCGCCGCCACCGAAAACGATTCTTCCGCTCGTCCAATTAGCCTTGGCAGCTTTCTTTCCATCCGCGCTCGCGAGCACTTGTCGACAGGATCTAATCCCGCGCAGGCGAGGTTATCATTGCCCAGAGTGCTGGATGCGTTGCTGTCCATTCACGTGCCAAGTGGTGGTGGCAAGGTTAAATGACAGCCTTCCCGCTCTGCCGTGGAACTAAGCCGCGATGAGAAGACCGAGAACCCGTGAGATGGTGTTGCGTGGCCCGGGGCTTTTCATTAGAGTGCGGCGTTCGTGAACCCGTGTGATTCTGTGAGTGATTCACAGGCGGAATCCCAAGATTTATTCCGGGTTTTATCTAGAATCTTTTGGGAGCAGAGATGAACAGATATTGTGCAATGCTGTACATTAATGATGTGCAGTACGGTACTTAAAGTTCTGAGAGCTGCATCAGCCGAGGTGAAAGACTTGCGTTTATTCGAAATTTTTGGAAATTTTCGGGTTCGCGCCGATTCTTGTTTTCTTGATTGTTTTCTGTATTGAAGTACGAGTACCGTATACTCTAGGTCTGAATTCGCTGAAGTAACAAACAGGAACGAAAACTATTCGGGCTCAAGAAAATTCAGGCGATATCTATGTACAGTATTCCCTTAAAATTCCCGAGTATCATGCATTAGGGATTGAAGTGAAAAAATTCAATTCATTAATATTAAATACTGCTCTGTATAATCCAGGATGGTGACCAAATTTCCAGGCTTTAAGCATCACATATCACGGATTATCCAGTTTTAAGAACGAAGTGTTTCGTCGACGAGAAATCATTCAACCAGAAAAACATCTATATTTTCCGTCATATCCCCACATAAGTCTCCAATAACCACGCATTACCGGAAACCCTATTTAAAAATTTGAAGGTGCTTGTAATTCTTATCTGACATCCTTTGGGATTGTGGATCGCTCTTGAGGTCATTTTTTGATTAATGGTGCTTATTGCATTTAAGATTGAAAGTGTATGTCAATTAGAGGGACTGGAAACAAATTCGCATGGACCATTGGCATTAGAAGTGGCACAGAAAGACCCCTAAATTATTCTTCTCGCAGAGTTTATCAGTTGGAAGCATTTTCTTCAGGGAAAGTGTTAGTTAGAACAATTACTTGAAGTTGAATTTTGTCATATTTTGTGCCTAAAATTGTTGGATAAATAAGTTGACAGGATGCTGAAGTTGAGATGAAGGGTACATTTACCCAATTAGTTACTCACTTACTTCAGAAAAACATCTTTTTAAATTTTTATTGCTCTTCCCAGAATGATGCCCCAAATGCCTTAATGGAGATTTTATGGAGAAAAGCCTTTGAGCTAGAAATATTATGCTGTTATTTTGACAGGGATTTAAAAAAAAATTGGACATCGGTATGTTTTTGCCTTTGGGAGGTTTGAATGAGGAAGGTCTAACTTCATCAACAAATGGTACTGTAATTGACTCCTGCATAATTAATGTTCTATTCTACGCATCACTTAACAGGAAATAAATAAAATTTATATTTAATCAAAAATAAATTTTTACAAGCTCTTGCTGACAGGAGTCAGTTAGGCGATTAAAGTTTAATTGCGGCGTGTAAGCAATTATTTCTGATCCACAAAACTTAACCTATATAACCTTTCCCTCACTCAGCTGTTCGCCCCATTTACCAGACAATAATGACGCGGAACTTGGTCCAGAGAATGTTGAATTGCCTGGTAGATGAGGATTATATGGTTGCTGTGTCATGAAATGAGATCGACTGGCGCGCATGATTTTTTTTTTAATTATTGGGGATTTTGAGTGTGTGTGTTTCTTACATGCGTGCGCAGTATTTTCGTGAGAGCCTTTTTAGGAAAAGCTCCGCGTGTCTTTCGAATTCCTGACTATTTCTATTGATATTTTGGATTCAAGACTTGTGGATGGAAGGGAAAGTTGATAAATTGGCAGAATCGATGAAAAGTTATCCCTTGAAAAAGCTACCTGTGTATGCATTTTTTGTATGTCGTATGTCAGTCTTCAACTTCCCATTTGTGGGAAATACGTCATCTCAGGATAGGCTGTGCGGGCTAGGTAAGAATTAGACATTTTTTGTACTGTACTACAGTACTGTATAAGAGTTGTGTAACTTAGAGGCAGTTAGGCCAGGCGTAAACCGGTTAGGTGTTAGGTGTGCCTAGGTACTGTAATTGAATGATTGCTCAGGTAGCCGATTTTAGAAGTTCGAAAAAGTGATCTGCCTTCTGAAACGACAGATGGACCTTCTCAAGGCTCCACTTCGCTCAAAAATCTGTTGAAAATTTTCTTGCGCATGATTAATTCCAGTGTTCCCAACATTTTTGGGTCCGCGGCCTGGTAAATTTTCAAAAAAAATCTCTGTGGACTGGCAAAGTTTCATGAAAATGTTGCCGACCCCATGGCAACATGGGTTCATGGGAATGGAAAAAAGTTCCATTTGTAATACTTCATGGCAGATACTTAAAATATTTATGATTTTTTGCAAGAATTAACTTAAGAGCCAATGAAGCAGTTTTAGAGGAATTTCTATGCAAAATAATTTCTATGTTCATAGGAATTCTATTCATAGGAATTTCTATGTCTTCAAAAAATGAGAAAGGTGGGCTTGAAGAAAGGTTTCTCAGAATGAAAAAGTAAAATATTTTTCTTTCAGCTAGTGACAATTTGTAGTGAGTGTTATTAAGAGAAAGCCAATTTTTTCTATCAGATAAATTCAACTGCCATTGTCTTTCCAAACTTTCAGATGAAGAAGACAGACTTCATGGCTGCTTATGATAAATTTAATATGCCAAAGAAAACTTCCTGTGGACAGGCAAAAAAATTCTACAGACTTGCTCCGGTCAGTGGTACCACGGGTTTGGGAACACTGATTTATTCCATTCAATCTTTGTCCTGCAAACTTTCTGCAGAGTCTTCAGGCATTCGTCCCCATCGTCTTTTGACTCTTACCTGCTTTAATTTCACTTGCTGGCTCGTTTTCTTCGGAGGAAAACAGACACTCAATAGCAGCAATAAATATCGTAACTTGGGTTCTGGGTCGATCGTTCGCGGAAGACGACCATGCCAGCAAGCTGGTCCTCGCGGTGCCTGCAGCGAGGTGCCCGCAGTTGAGTGCTGGCATCGACCAGACGTGCATCCTGCGGAAGTTGATTCGCTTCATTGCCCGGCATGGTCGTGAAACTGAGTCCCGACGAACCCGTGGACCCGAAGCCGAGTGCGCAGCTATTTGTGGTGACGCGGAAAAATCTGAGGACCGGCAGAGTGCGTCTTGAGGTGCTTATGAAATAAACACAGGGCTTTTCTAGCCCTGGCACGCGTACTAATGGGTTGCGTGGTGGTGCGGGTACCACTGGTGGTACGGGCGAAACCTGTCGGGTGGTTTGTAAGCTGTGTTGCCAAGTTCAAGTTGCACTCCCTCTGGAATAGTATACTGTATGCAGTAGATAAGAAAGTCTATGGAACGTGCGTAGAATTTAATGCAAATGCGGCATTGAGGCGTTACGAACATTGACATGAATAAAACAATAGCCGAATGGATTTTCCTAGATGGTTTGTGCTTCGATTGTAAAAACATTACAGTTTATAGGTTATTAGTAACTAAATCTCGAACGAAAGCAAATAAAAATAACCCTCCCCTAAAAAAGTAACCTCTTTAAAAAAGGAACGAGTATTTACAAAAATTACCCTATTTTTTTTACACGAGTTATTCCTGATGCTGGAAACCCATTGTATATCACAGGAAGATTGTATGAACTGCTTTTTATTTGCTCCAAGTGTGAAGTATAGGTTTTACACAGGTTCACTGGTTTCCAAAAAGTTGCAAGTAGAAACTGGTTGACTCTTCATAACGAAAATCAGTGGTCCAGAAAAAAAAATTTTTGGGAGAGAATTTGGTTCTATGAATTGGGTTGACTGTAGAGAACCGGTTGGTACCACAAAAAATGCATGATACAGAGAAATCATTTTGCATAGAAAATCGTTTTAGCAAGAGACCACTTGTACCGTCATGTTCTACAAGTGGTACACTCCAGAAAAAGAGTGAAAAGTCGTTGTTTAACGTACCGAAACGCTATAATTTCCCCATCTCCCAAGGAAGGATTGCCTTAGCAATGGTGCAAGCACCACCTGTGGTTCTCAGACACCTAGAAGATGGTATGGAGGATTATTTCACTGAACCAAGTACAGTATTAGGCATTTAAAACGTGCTATGAGCTAATAACAGATGTAATTTAACTACCCAGACCGGGTTTACGAAAACTGCCATGCCTTCTGAAATTTTGTACTATTGTATTGGCGAAATTATTTGCACTGTCTGCTGCACGGAGCCAAAACCCGATATTCGCACCAGAGCTGAACGGAACTTTTATTTCGATGAACCAATGAATTGCCTGATTGAAATTCATTTTTGTGTGCTTTGTTCCAGATCTGAAGTCTTCCATCATGCTTTTTAAAGACAGTTTGAATGGTTTTCAAAAGTTAAGTGCTATAAAGGGGAGGAATAATAGATCGAAACGAAACAACCTGTGTTGACGTTTTGGTAAGGATGCTAAAACCCTGTTTGAATACCCGTATGTACAGCTGCGAACCTAGACTCAAAGTTACTTATCACGACACTACAGGTGAGCTGGTTTCCGGTTCAAAGTCTCCATAAATAATTTAATTCTGTATAAAACAAATGTGCGCATTGGAATTCGTTTATTCGATGACCCGTTCAATTTCAATTATTTTTAAAATCACGATTTTTATTTTTTTTTATCTCGGCCGTGTGTTGTGTATGAAAAAGTGTGAGTTGAACTGAGTCATGCATTCGGATCGTTGAACAGGGAAACCTTTTCAAGAGCCAGGATCTCCTTGAGTAAGACCTATTGTTGCTCGACCTACTGAGACACTACAAAGGCAAGTTACGGTCCAACTGTTGGAACTCAAACTTATTCTTATTCCGCTCAAATAAACCGTCTGTCCACCCGCATCTTCATTCTTCTCTGACCATGACATCTTTCCTGTGTGAAAATAAAACTTTGATAATTTTTTAATTGCTGGATTGCTGCTGTGTTAGATTTCCGACTTGGAACGACTGGTGGGTATTCTGAAGGAACGTGTGCCAAACTTGAAGTATCTCAGTTTGCTGGGAAACTCAGCTTGCACGCACCAGATGAACCATCCCGAGTTCGACGAATCGGATTATCAGAGATACAGGTTAGAGACAGAAATTCGTGTCCTTTTTTTTAAAAAAACTTTATCTAGCTAGGAACAAAACCTGGGAAGTTTAAAAATTCTTCAGATTCCTCCTTCTTTTATTTTATTCCTGCGAGAATAATAATTCGTGGCCGTGCGGGAAGTGGGTGATTTCTCAAAATAATCCTGGAAGGGAATTTAAATTTTTTTCATTCTGGTGTTCTTTAAATTGATCGCAAAAGTGATTTTATCGATCACTAAAATACAGCTAGAGATGTTATTTTGTACTTGAAAGGTACTTCATCTTGCATCACTTGCCGAAACTCAAGTTCCTTGATTCGCGAGCTGTGATTAACGACGAACGAGAGCAAGCAAGCAAAATCGGTCACCTGACCCGTGTGGTGAAGCCTGTGATGAAACCCGTGGTGAGGATATCTGAAAATCCAGTGCCTTTCAAATCTTTTTAAAGCTTGGAATGAGCATCTTTTTTTGTCGTTCAAGTCCCGGATGCCACACGAAGGAAACAATCATGTCGAGGGGTTAGGATCATTGACTATTCACGAGTAACCAGATACTGTGAGTGCAGTAATATACATTATGTGACGTCTATGAAAGAGTTGTTCTCTTGGAGGCTACATCTGTACTGTAAAGTTATTAGATACGGATTAGATAGGGCGGCGGAACATGCAAATGGACCTTGACAACAAGATTTGGGTTCGATGGGTTGCTTCACAAATTGTGCCAGTGCTTCGAGATAATTTTATAAAACCTATTTTACAGCATTACAATTTACTACCATCACTTCATGAATAAATATTCTTTAATTTCTTGAACATGGATCGATTTAAAAATTGAAATTCGTCTGGCATTCAGCTCTTCGTGTTCAGCAGTGTTGATTCGATGCGAAATCATTTCTGGACTAATTGAGAATGAAAATACTGACCTCATAATTTTTTTTTCAATATATTGACCCCACATTGAGTGCTGTTCAATAAATGTTGACACGTTGCTATTCTTTGAGTTAAGGAATGGAAAGTGTTGCAAATTGAACTCTGTTTTATGAAGTTCTTTGCGTACCGAGGCTTCCAAGAATTGAGCAGCTTAATTCCTTGAACCCCCTTTTCAGTCACTAGTAAAGCTCAAGAAAAACGTTTTAATAGTTTGATGAAAATAATATTCAATTGCAGTCATGACGTGGACAAATTTTCGCTCATCGGTTCATTTTTAATGCGAATGTTGCATTCAGACTTTCAGTCACTAGTAAAGCTCAAGAAAAACGTTTTAATAGTTTGATGAAAATAATATTCAATTGCAGTCATGACGTGGACAAATTTTCGCTCATCGGTTCATTTTTAATGCGAATGTTGAATTCAGCGTTATTATGAAGAAAATCATGAAGGTCAAATCCTTTTTGGAATGAAAACCTCTTAGGAAGACCTGTTCTACGATTATAGACAGCTGTAACATCATGGAGGTGAACTGTCGACTTTATTGTATGCGTTTATTTCAACCGGATTCGGAAAAGGTACATAAAAGGTCAGAGAGGATTTTTCGATGCTTCATGAAAGCTTAATGCTGTACATTACATGCACAGCTGGTTTATTAAAAATGTAAGCTTGTACGAACTTTTTTGTGTTTCGCGGAAGGTCAGCTGGTCTTTTTTTTTTGTTTCAATACCACTCCGTAGAAAAATTAACTTCCTCGCCGTTCACTGAAAAAGAGCGAGTGCGGCAAAACTTTTGAAATGAACTCGTTCTTTTCTCTGAGACGGAAGTACGCGCCATGCCCCCATAGGCACAGAGAAACGTAAGGTCCGAGCATGATTGAATTCGTGAGTCCTTGGAGTACAGTACTGCACACTCCTTTTTTCCAGGCTGCTTCTTCTTCCGGAAACTCGTACACGCCTTTACCTGAGCACTCCCTTCCGACGGGATCCCACGCAGGTCAGCCCGCCGTTGAAGCTTGCGGCTTCCTCTGGTTGCGACGTTTCTTTCCTTGCCTGCTGATTTGATCTCACTCGATGATTGTAATCTTCTTCTTTTTTTTAGAATGTCAGTTACTCACAAAGCTCAGTCCATAAAGTGTTTTGTGTACGGTATACTCGTATCTGGAAAGGTTTCTTCCGCGTATACCGGGTCGAATTGCCAGGATGGTTCAATGCTGTGATTTTTTTTAAATCCTAGTAAAAAAAACTCAGTTTTTGTTGTACCCGAGTTTTTCTGGATGATGGTGATCATCAAGTGGTAATACAAGTACTGTACTTAGTTATATCCACGCGCTGATGAAACCACGATAGTGTGGATTTTTTGGGAAACTATGGAATTTGTGTTTTTAAAAAGGGTGAGGAGACAAAAAAAAATGTCTCAAGAAGTGTTTAGGTGCTTGGAGATGGGAAGGGCACATTAATAGCCTTTTAAGGGGAAATCCCAGTGTATTCTTTTCACTGGAAATCGTCCAGACAAGAACAAGAACTGCTTTCTGAAGATGATTTGCATTCTCATTTCTGCTTATTTTATTGGACAAAGACCTTTTTCCTGAAGGTTCTACCAACTTCTATCCATTTTGCTGAGTGAGGCAAAAACGTGTTTTTCCCTTTTATTGCAACTGTAATAAAAAGGAGAAAAAAATAAATTTATTAAAGAAGTTGTAAGCTAGTGAGTAGAATACTAATAACATCTAGAAAGGGATGAGAGAAGATATTGGAATTGTTGATTTGGGTTAGTTCAAAATATAAATTTGAGCAAGACAATAATTATATAGGAAATAAGTTAAATATAATTTCCAGCAGTATGATACGTGTAACTTTCCAGTTCCAAGCACCTGACAAGTGTTGTTGTCCCAATAATGCATCTTTTCACATTGTCCCCGCTTCCTTCACACCATTTTTGAGCTATAATTTAATTTTCAAATGGAACTTCAATATTTTGTATCCATCGTTTCTAGAAATATTCATTATTTTTGGAAATATTCACTAAACATGGAAATGTTGAATATTTACTGGAAATATTCAGTATTTCCTGTAAATATTAATTATTTCTGAAAATATTAATTATTTCTGAAAATATCAATTATTTTCAAAAATATCAATTATTTTCAAAAATATCAATTATTTTCAAAAATATCCATTATTTTCAAAAATATCAATTATTTTCAAAAATATCAATTATTTTCAAAAATATCAATTTTTTTCAACATATCAATTATTTTCAAAAATATCAATTATTTTCAAAAATATTCACGAAAATGTGTGTCAATAGCACCACACAAATCTCCCTGGTGCTGTACTCGCTGTTTATTGTGAAACGTGCTCGTTCCTCGACAACTGAATTCCATGCAATTAATTCTGTAACAGGAGCCTTCGGAACATACATCTATAAGTACACTGGCCGCCAATCTGAAGGAAACCGATTCATCCTGAACAAAGATCTATGAGGACTTCGTCCACTTCTTATTGGATTGTGCTTTCACCGCTGCTCCCATTTGTATTGTGAAAATATCCCCCTGTGTTACCACGACGCTTGAAGACCACCCGGAAAAGTTTAAAGAAAAGCTTTTTTTGCCACGCAGAATTTCGCAAATTTGTTCTTTTCATTTCATTCAAAGTCCAAGAGACGAGGCTCTGCATCGCTGCAGAATTCAACATCACCATTCATTATGAGTCTGTGCATGTTGCTGGAGTTTTCAGCTAATTTGCATTATTAATTTTGAAACCTTTTGAGTGCTGTGGTTTGAGAATGATTTCACATAGTACAATGAAGACTCGAACGAAAGCTTGGAAATTGCGCATTTTTTCCATAAAAGCAGATTATAAAAGCTTTTATTCGTTTGGAAATGTCTGTTGGATTCATTCGCATTTGGATAAGCCAAGCCTTTTTGAACGTGAAAAATCGATCAGAGTAATCCCTCACAAGATAGATTTTTTTTACAAAAAACGAATATGAGTATTTTTTAGGCTTGGATTCCGAATGCAAGTCATGCAGTGACCAGCAAGTATTCGTTCAGTACAAAATCGCTTTTAGCTATTTATATTTTGCTCATGCCTTTTCACCGAGTTGATGCCATAGAACCAAAGCATAGAGAACGTTGTTGTAGTCCTTCAAAGCAACGAGTTCTGAAAACTCTAATCCTCCATTTTCACTTTATTCACACATTCATAGAAAAAGTTCAACTGCCCATTTTTCTCAACAGCGAAACAAAATGTACAAGACCCACATGACACGAATTCTCGCGTGACTACTCTCAAGGTTTGATTGGCGGACATTTATGAGTCGGCAACTTCTCAGTTGGACAGCAAATTCCTTGGAGTCTGGAATAAGAAGACAGCTCTGCTGATTAATAGCGAGGAAACATTTTTTCAAGTCAAGATTTACCCTTGCACTGAGGCATCCGCTGGATTTTCGTAGTGTAGCTGGCACAAAGTTGTTGGGATCAAAGTCTGAATCTCGACTTTCCCCAGGTCGCATTTTTCCCATGGCTCATTCACGCAAGAATAAAGTGGCGTGCAAATGGCTGTCGTTTCATTGCCAAAATTTGCGCATGTCCGGTTCTCCACGAATTTGTCCGCCTGTTGAGAAACAAAAATGGCGCAACAATGTACATTACTTTACTATGATGCCTACTTCGAACAAGTTTCTCAAAAGTCCTGTAGGTCATTAATGTACTGTACTTGTTTCATTAAAAAAATCGTTTTAAACAGCTGAAATATGAACCAAAGCAAGAATGATTCACTAAACGCTATTGCAAACATCAAAAGGATTTTTTAAAGCCATTGTCTTCCTGAAATTATTTAATTCTATAGAAATAATGGCGCATTTAAAAAATTGGAATGATCCCTTTGGATGAAGAGATTATGTTTCATCTGACTAAAATTATGCATTGTATGCGATACGCAAGGCTTCTGGCAAAAATTCTAGCTTCCTTCGTTCAAAAACCCCTCGAGTGGAATTTTTTCAAGTCCTTCATTGGAGTTTGACTTTCAGTCAATAGTAAAGCTCAAGAAAAACGTTTTAATAGTTTGATGAAAATAATATTCAATTGCAGTCATGACGTGGAAAAATTTTCGCTCATCGGTTCATTTTCAATGCGAATGTTGCATTCAGAACAAACCGCGAGGGCCAGGGTGGTGTTCCCGTCAATCAACACCAAGTCCCCCTTGGCCAAGTCGACGGACCCATTCGGGTTAGCGTTCACCCATTTTTCGGTCCAGTCAGCCATCTGAATTATAGCCGTGAAAATAACCAACTGCTCCGCTGTTGGCTTCGTCGTGGTTCTCTGGGCCTTCTCTTCCTCTGCAAATCCCTCCACTGTCGTCGAGTCGATGGACTCAGACGTCGTCGTCACTTCCTGTTCCGTGGTTGGAACCGATTCCGGAATGTGATATTTCTCGGTCGAAGGCGGCGATTGGCTATTGCTGCAACCAGACTTTCACCACCAGCTCTTTTTGGGAGCCCAACAACACGCCACACGCATCCGCCGCCCACGGTCTCCTCTGTCCTCAACTAACTTCATTTGGGGCCACGGACGACGCTTGGGCCTAGATGCCCCGTAGGAGTAGAGTTGTCCCGGGCCTTGGAAAACAAAGACAAACAAACAATGTGCCGGTTTGTTTTTAGTCACGATCAAATGGTCATACTGTAATTTCAAGAAAATATGAGCATGCAGAAAAAAAATCGCCTTTATTTTTCCGACCCTGGCGTTATTTTCTCCCACTTTTTTTTTCAGTGAGTCCAAAATGTAGAAAAAATATTTCATGCATGCAGGGTTAGAATTTATCCGCTACAGGGGAAAGTTCGTCATCTGAATAACCGATCTTGAGTGATGTATAATTGATTCTTCAGAATGATCGAGACGCCCAATAATGCCAAACAATATGATCAATCTGTTTTGGATTCCTTGAAAATTCACTCCAACAATTTTTGAATAATTTTCTGAATAAATACCTCATTTACTTGAATACCACACGCCCTTGAGCAAGAAGTTCACCGAAATTTTTTAAAAGCAAAATTTGATTTTTAAAATGTACATCTCCGCAGAAAACTTGCATCCTGGCTTTATTTCATTTCAGTGACCAGAATTGTTAATTCTTTTAAAAGAACAGTATTTAGAAATCGTATCTCAAGTCGCAAATGAATGATGAATTAAATGGCAAAAACGAATAAAACTTGTTTATTCAACTTTATTCAGGAGTGAATTCAAATTTTTATTTCTGGTAGCTTTTGAACAATTGAATTTTGGATATCAGTCAAAATTTGCTTCAAGTATTAGGTGCAAATCACACGAATAATTTTTTCGAAAAATTTATTCAAATGCACGACACACAGCATTTTTTCCTTCTACTGTATATCTTTTTTTTTAAATGTGCGCATGGTACTAAAGTAAACACGGTTTATGTTCGAAGTAAAATGTCATTGCATAACAAAATCTCTCAGAAAAGAGTCGCTGCAAATATAAAAGAACCCACTGTAAAATTATCCTGGCATAAACATTTTGAAAAGCATCCTAGAGACTCGCGCTTGATGAGTTGAATTTTCAAAAATCTCTCTCTCTCTCTCTCTCTCTCTCTCTCTCTCTCTCTCTCCGATCGGCGAGCTTTATGTAAATTCAGTTCAGTTTCGGGAGTAACCAGAGCACATTTTAAAAACTTCTACGAAAACATCAGCGTTTTCCCAGAAAATAAAGCATAACCAAAAAACAAGCTCCACGACGTTGGTCTGAAAGTGGTGGTCGAGAAAAACCCTCGGGTTGTTGTGCGGTGTGCGTAGGCGGCGGGTGCCAGAGGAGACAGGAGTTGATTGAAGTAAACCCCGGTGCCTGCTGCGAACCCGGATAATGCCCCATAGGAGTAGAGTTGTCCTGGGCCTTGGAAAATAAAGACAAACAAACAATGTGCCGGTTTGTTTTTAGTCACGATCAAATGGTCATACTGTAATTTCAAGAAAATATGAGCATGCAGAAAAAAAAATCGCCTTTATTTTTCCGACCCTGGCGTTATTTTCTCCCACTTTTTTTTCAGTGAGTCCAAAATGTAGAAAAAATATTTCATGCATCCAGGGTTAGAATTGATCCGCTACAGGAAAAAGTTCGTCATCTGAATAACCGATCTTGAGTGATGTATAATTGATTCTTCAGAATGATCGAGACGCCCAATAATGCCAAACAATATGATCAATCTGTTTTGGATTCCTTGAAAATTCACTCCAAAAAATTTTGAACAATTTTCTAAATAAATACCCTATTTACTTGACTACCACACGCCCTTGAGCAAGAAGTTCAACGAAAATTTTTTAAAGCAAAATTTGATTTTTAAAATTTACATCTCCGCAGAAAACTTGCATCCCGGCTTTCTTTCATTTCAGTGACCAAAATTATTAATTCTATAAATAAATAAAAATTTAGAAATCGTATCTCAAGTTGAAAATGAATGATGAATTGAATTGAATGGCAAAAAAGAATAAAACTTTTTTATTCAACTTTATTCAGGAGTGAATTCAAATTTGTATTTGTGGTAGCTTTTGAACAATTGAATTTGAACAATGGAACAATTGAATTGGAGATCAGTCCAAACTTGATTCAAGTATTTGGTGAAAATCACACGAATAATTTTTATGAAAAATTTATTCAAATGCACGACACACAGCATTTTTTCCTTCTATCGTATATCTTTTTCAAAAAATGTGCACATGGTACTGAAGTAAACACGGTTTATGTTCGAAGTAAAATGTCATGGCATAACAAAATCTCTCAGAAAAGAGTCGCTGCAAATATAAAAAAACCCACTGTAAAATTATCCTGGCATAAACATATTGAAAAGCATCCAAGAGACTCGCGCTTGATGAGTTGAATTTTCAAAAAGCTCTCTCTCTCTCTCTTACACACATGCCAAAAATCATGCAGGACCACAATGCTCCTTAATCAACATTTCAAATTAGCAACCGTCCATCAACCGCAACATGCAAAAGAAGAACCCCGCCGTCAAAGAAGAATTACCCCACCGTAACCCGACGACACCGGGAACGGAACTAAATGGTTGCCCAGGAAAACGTAGCAAGGAGTCCAATGAGTGTCAGTACGCATGACAAAACGCACTCGCAGAAGCCTTGCGTCTTGCTGGCATTGGTGGACTTCGACCGTGTCACCTGCAGCTTTGAGCAAAGAGCGCAGTTGGGGTTGCATTCTGGGATCACAGAGTGATTCTGCATGCATTCGCTACAGCCGCGGCAGAATTCGTCCGTAATGGCATTTGTGCCGACACCCTGGGATGAGCACAGTTGGACCTCCACCATGGCTAAAGGTTTACCGTTGGATTTTGGCACTGTCCACCACCAAATTTCATCAGGAAGTATTTTGGAAGTCATGAGGAGGAGAAGGAGATACATTTTGGTACCTCTTTGAGGAAAAGGTATCGGTTTACACATGAACTGTGTGTCGTCTTAAATTGCTCGGAAAAATAAACCAGAAAGCCGTAATTGCTAACCACCAGATTAACTAGAGTTTGCGTTCCTTTAGATTTATCCTCAAAATTCAAAAAACTGCTGGAACTAAAAGATTTAAATTTTACTGTGACTCAATGAAGAGATTTAAAGAAAAACCATTGCGGAGGTTTTTCTCTGAGCAAGTGAACGTCAAGTATGTTCACAAGTTTATTCAGATCTTGTTATCGAAATTGGTGTCTCTAATAAAATATTCCCCCGGCTAAAAAGCATTTTCGCCTTTTAAAAACCTTGATGTTTCGGCATTTCTTGCACTGTCTTACACACATTGATCCAGTTAGCAAACATTTGTCTCCTTCATTTCTCCACAGAAAACATTGGATTTTATTTTTGGAAAATACAGTCTAGCATTCTAGCTTAGAAACAATCCTCCGAAAGAACATTGCACTCGCACAAGCTGCGCTTGTCAAGCGAAATATCACTGTAAATAAAAAAAGAACTGTGTTGACTCTTAAACCAAAACGAATCTAAACAAAGAACTTGCATTGCTTAACCTTCTTATCCAGGGCGCAGACCAACGTCATCATGCAACCCCTGGCCACGCATGGGTACGAAAGTCGAGGGATTTTGAAATACCCTATATCTCAAAACCAAACCATTGCCAACTTTCTTACAAGATATCCTGCACTCTTTTTTTTTTTTTTACCCAACACCACGTCGCTTTATTTTGTGAATTCAAGTCGTCGAGGAGACGGGATTTTTTCTTCTCACCACTGGCGCTCTGCTGTTGGTAGTTGCTGGCCACAGCGAAAGCCGGATTTCCTGCGTCGGCATCCAAATCCTCCGCTGAAAGTTTGGCTTGAACCTGAGATCCGGTTTCGTTCTGATCCGGTTTATTCACGACCAGGGATGTCAAAGGTGTCACAAAGCTGAACTGAATGCATCAAGAAGGAAATAAGGAATACAATTACTGTATATGTAAATGTTTTTCTCGACAAATAAGTCTTGATACTCGAGTACTGGATTTCCTTGTTGAAGGTCGGGCAAATTTCTATACACTATTTGTATTACCTCGCTAAATTAATGCATCGATATATTTTCATTTTTTAGCATATTTCAATGCACAGGTCGACTCTCTCGTCTACATCGAAGGTATAGGGAGCAGGAAAAATCGTTGTAGAGAGAATTTCGTTGTAGAATAACAGAGAACCACTATCACATGGGGAAAGAACCCTGTTGGACCCAAAAAATATTTGTTAGACGGAGAAAATCCTTGTAGACCAGATAGCTGTAGAGAGAGTCCGCCTGCATTCATAGTACAGTGTTAGATTTTTTTTTAGTATACAGTATTAATGTAAATTTATGTTATTTTCATTACTTTTATATTTTCGCCCATCAACGGGGTCGACGCGTTTCTATCATTTAGCCGATGAATTGATTCTTCTTTGGCAGCAGGTTTGCAAATTTTGTAACGCAGGTACACTTTTCTATGCGACGATTTTTTTTTAGGTTCCGGCGTATCTTCTATCAATTGATCTGCAAATGCATTATCTCTTTAAAAAATCTCGTTGCAAAATTCCATTCCTAGCTGCAAACGGAAGGAGTGGAATTACTAGGAACCCCGCGGGGTCAGTGTGCTGTCGAATACACATGCCTTCAATGAAATGTTGAGGGCTTTCTCTTTCAAAGCTGAGAGTTTTTCTTCCTCGTCCACGGTTTCCATACGATCCAGAGTCAGCCTGACGGTCTGGTAAGCCCAAAGTCGTTCCAGGAAGTTCGAATAAGGCCGGAAACTAGACTTGTCGTTTAAATCCATCTCGACGACGTCGGACGCCGTTCCGTTGAAAGTGACCGACCCTTGCTGCGCGAGCGCCGACACCGTGTAAGCAGTGAGGCGGTCCGACGCCGATTCCAATTTCCCCGTCATGACGATCTCGGTTCCTCTGAACGCTGTCACGTTTTGGCTGGGTTGTGCTGTCGGCGTCGAGTCCTCGTCGACCTGAAGGATAAAAGTTGGTGAGACTCTCGTCTTGGTCGCGTCTGCAATTTCTATTCACAAAACGGAGAATTAATTAGTTAATTTTTAAAAATAAATTCGTGGTAAATAAATGCAGTGCGCATATGAATCACAACCGTCTATAGCAGTTCTAAGGGGTGCAAGTTTCGATGAAAACCTGAACGAAGACAGTTTGAAAACACATTTTGCGTTTAGGAACTTGTGAGATTTATGTAAAGCAAATACTAATTGTCATCCCCGTCAGAAAACATGGATTTTGAACAGTTTATTGCGAATGTTGAAACCAAAATAAGGAGTGCTGGAGAAATGGATCGAATAACAGTAAAATGCAACTTCGTTTAATGGACGGGGCAAATAATTTTTAAAGTGTATATATTTTATATTTTTCTTCAGTTTCAAATACACTGTTGAGACTTTGTTGCTAATTTTGGATCGTGCTCAAAATTTTTGAAAATATCGCTTCAAGCTGGATTAAAAATAAAACTGATGGAGAAATAGGTGACAAAAATAGGATTGATTTTCAAAAATTTCCGTTCCTTTTTCTTTTTCGAGACAAATTTTCATTCATTCATGCTCAAGAGACTAGAAAAGTATTTTTCCATTGTAAAAGCGTACGAACCAAAATCACGTGCTCATTGCATCTTCCTGGAATTTTTTAATTGGTCTGAAGCTGTTTGACCATATTTTTAATAGTATCTCGTGATTAAAAATATATTTTATCGCTAAAAAAATTAAAATGGAATCTTAAAGAGGTTTTTTTTCACCAGAACTGGCGGACGGTTGAAAGCAACTTTGAACTTATCCATCACATCTCGTAATTTAAATTTAGTTCCATTATCGGAAAAATGCACATGCATTCACATTCGCAACTGAAAAGCCTTCTTAAAACCCATGTATAATTACTTTTCCACCCAGGTAAGTGATGTTGACGTTGGTGAGAATCGGGCTGGAAATTTCCTCGAAAAATCCAGTGAGTTGAAGCGAGGAATCCGAATCGGCGTAGATTTTTCTCGCGAAACCATTATTTCGGAGCCCTAATTTCTTGAGGAATTTGAAGTTCGTGTCGTCTCCGAAGGCTATTGTGAAGAGCAGGACCTTGTTGCTGGCTTCTTCATTGCGCTTCAGCATGTTCTTCACGATTCTCTCGGTGTCAGTTTCACCTGATGAAACAATAAATCGAGTATCCGTGACACTTGGTCTCCTATAATGACATGTGTTCAATAATGGCGGTAAGATGCAACAGGAAAATTGCAATGACGATAGACTCGGACTCGGTACAGTGATTCAAACGTAATTTTTTTTCTGCGAGTTCACTATTTCTCCGAAAATAAAATCGACCTACAATGTCCCTTCAAATTTCTCCCAAAAATGCGCAAGGAATTTTCTCAGGGTATTTTTTATGGCGAGTGGCGTGATCAAATGAGCGCCGTTGGTAATTGATCATCGAAACCATGAGCAACATAGAGATAAGTAAAATTTTCTCATTGCTGGGTAGGCGAATACATTTTCAGTGCTCCAGCCTTTTTATTGTCGTTTTAAGTTAACCATCGTTATCCTGGATGAAAGAAACAACCTGGAGAGTAGCTGAAGCGAATTCACGAGAGAAATTATCAAAATTGAAGATGTATATAGTCGCCGAATTTTTTAGAAAATAATTCAACGCTTGATACTAAGATATTGTTTGCATTTCGAAATGCTCCGAAAATTTTAGTCCTGATCTTTGATTAGCTAAATGTAATTTAATGATCAATGACGAAAGTAATCCTTACTGGTCTTACCCAGTAGGAAAGCAGTTCCACTATTGCCAATAACTTATAATAATCGTAAGCCAAGGACCGTATTAAAGGTTGGAACTCACCCTTGGGGCAGTCACTCCAAAATTATCATTTGGGCCAAGGATTCCGGGGCCACTTCGTTTTCCTGGCCCTTGACGGACTTCTGGGCCTGTTTGAAGGCCAGTTTGAGTGCGGAATCGATGTCGGTCTGGCCGTCGGCAGTCCAGCTGTCGATGTGGGCATTGGCTCGTTTGATTAGGTCAGGGGTCACCTTCCGGGGTGCCAAAGGGTCCGTGTCTGCAGTAATGTTTTTCTCCTGAATTTCCGGTTCCCACACCTGACGAAATCACGAGAATGAAGTGAAGAAATTTTTTTCCGTGTAATCCTATAGTTTACGCTTGTTGAAATGTTTTCGAGCTTAAAAAGATTCGATCTGTCAATTTGCGAACAGCTGTGCGCTATTCATTTTTTTGCCAAAAATTTAGCGATAACTTCTTCCCTGACGCTTTGATTCTATGTTACTGAACATGAGCCATTTACATTAATCTTCTATTTGGTCCTCGATAATTTGAAAACGTTGAAAATTTTAAATATTTCTGTCATTCGGATCGATAATGAGATTGCTGGATGAGAAATCTAGATGCATCCGCTGTGTTGATACTTTCGTTGCCAATGGATAATTCGAAAAATTTGAATACAAGTTTAAATTTTCGGAACAGCCTCGAAAATTTGCCGAAGTCGTCTACCTGAACATTTGAAAAACCCCGCCGGTATAGAGAAAAACTGGAGAATTCCAATTTAATGTATTGAACGCTTTTGCATTTATCTTGATGAAAATACATGACAATAATACACCTATAAAGATTCCAATCAAATCCAAGTACGGAATAAACAACACACTATGGGAGCGTGGTCTCGACTTTCACTGCTAACTATCCATTAGAAGCAACTAGCAGTTAAGGAACTACTACCAGAAGTACCGCAGGAACCAAACGAGGTAAAATTTCGGTTTGTACCTAGGCGACCACTCAATGACGAAGACCGCGTGTTTGGGCATGGGTTTGTAAGGAGTTGCGTCGGGTGCCAAATAGTGAACGAAGTATCCATCAACGACCTTTGAAAGATTCTCACCCATCTCAATTTTCTTTTTTTTTTTTTAGCAGAGGGCAACTTTGGGGAAAGAATTTTGATTTGGAAATCTATAGAGTTCGACGTAACGTTATAATTTTGAACCCGTCTCCCATGTGCTTTAGGGCATTTGAAAACATTTTTTTTAACACGGTTGTCATCATTTCTTTCAATGCTTCCCGGGCACCAGCTGATGATTTTCTATTTCCAAAATTCAGCTGTCGCCTAAATTTTTGTTCCATTTGACAAAAGAATTTTCGCTATGCGGGAAATTTTTGTCACGTGACTCTTTTTTCCTCATGACGAAACATTTTTTTCTGCCTAATTTTTCCTACCCAAGAAATTATGCGATGCGAAATTTTCGTTATGTGGTTCTTTTATTCTGCGTAGACCCGCTGATCAAATTGATTTTCCTGATGTGCATTTGATTTGCAAAGTTACTCACGAAAAAATGTTCAGATGGAGCTTGTTTTTTGGTTATGCTTTATTTTCTGGGAAAACGCTGATGTTTTCGTAGAAGTTTTTAAAATGTGCTCTGGTTACTCCCGAAACTGAACTGAATTTACATAAAGCTCGCCGATCGGAGAGACTAGGTGCAGCATCGCTTGCTGCTTACAGGGCCTTTGGGGCCCAAAACAGAGGGCTTCTTCGAAGACCAGGACCTCGCACCCACTCATCAGTTAGCAGTGCACGCTGGGCCTTTGCACAAGTTACGGAGCCAAATTGTTTGCTGCAATTCAGGTCAAGTCCGGGCACAATCAGCGATTTAATTTTGTCAATCATTCGTTTAAATTCAAACGTCAGATCACGGCTTTCCAATTGGTGGTGTGCGGGTATCATTATTGTCAGTATACACGGGCACCTGTCTGGTGGTTTTCTCGAAATTTTTCCATTTTATAGGTTTTTTTTTCAAAAAGCGGTAAATTTGGTCGAGAATGGTATGCAAGAGAATGAAAATGTCACCGGAGCATTAGGAAGAAATCATGGGAAACTGAAATCTGCAAACGGCTAACACACCCAAGAAATGAAACGTCGAAATGTGACGTTTGTGTTACGGAATGCAGAAAGTTTAGGAAAGCTCAGAATTGCACGTCTAAAATTTGATTCGAGACATAGTTCATACCCAGTGGGTGGTACACAGAACATTGCCATTTCTTAAAAGTGGCTCAATCCCCAGAAAAGGTTGAAAAACCACATGAAATATGATTTCACCAACATTCTTTTTTTTTCTTACCTTTCTCGTTTTCCACCAGCAATTCTTTCCTCAGTTCAGGAACGATTAATTTCGTGAAATTCTTGGCTTCTTGGATGTCCACGTGTACTTCGAGGGTGGGGACGAGCTTGAACAAATAAAACATCATAGTAAAAATAAAAAGGAACCCCGGATCAACGAGAAAACAATGCAGCCTCATTCAATAGCTATAATGATTCCAACAGGAGAGCCACTATCCAAAAATCCCAAACCGTAATAAATATAAAAACAAACCAAAGAGTAAATTTTATCGCCCAGTGAAATTTTCGGGCAACTTCAGATTTTTTTCTGAATCTGCGTTCAAAAATTAAAACACGAAGAAGCTTAAAAAATGAATCCCTATACAGTAGAGGAATAAATCCCTGATTTCCAATTCCTAAAAATCAGTTCTACCATTTGCATCGGCCCCTTAACTTCTCATTTCATGAAGATTGTTTAAAATTGATCAAGCAGCTCATTGCGGGTCATAAACTGAAGCAGGGACCGCTGTGTGAATCAGAAACCTGCCAGGCCGCTATTTTAAGAGGTTTCGATTCGAGTCCAGATGTGTTTATTTATTCATTGGGATCAGGGAAAGATAATTATTTTCACATCATGTGTACGCAACTAATTACTGCAAGTATAAGAGATTCTTGGGCTAATCAGACAAAATCTTGGATAAAAAACACCAAAAAAAAAAAAAAAAAGATTCCAGTGCATAAAGGAAAAGGTTGCAGCGGGTTCCGAGAGGCTACGACTATACGCGTACAGCAAAAAATTTTCATTTACGCGCGCTTTTTCGTTTCCAATTATGAACAATTTCGCTTTGTAAACTGAATGATAAACCGATGAAAAGCTTCATTTCATGAAACCCCTTTTCTTGCGGTCCTTGAAAAGACTGACCTGGCCTGGATTTAAATTGATTCGCTGCTCGTAGAAACCGTTTCGCCGCAGAAGAAGCTCTTCGTAAATCAGTGTGAACGTGACCTTTTCTTTTGCGCCGACGTTGACCGAGACGCTGAAACGTGTCGAATCTCTTGGGCTGAAAGAAAAGAGGTAAGAAAATTGATTTAGGACTGCAGCATTTTGCTGCTGATTAAAAATCCCTTTATTGGAGAAATTACTGACGCGTCGCTGAAGACACGTCGGTGATTTGTTGACTCATTTAAATCATTATTGATGATAATCGTCAGATAATAATCTTGGTTTCTCATTTCTAGCTACAAAATATTTCGATTTAATCTTCCTCCACATCCAACACTAGTTCGTGGGCTCCCAGACAGAAAGGTCACCTGAAGGGACGACAAATTCGTTTTACTTGACTTCTTTTTATTTTAACTTCCGATCCCTTTACCGTCCTTGATAAAAAATGTAGGCACTTAGTGCCGTTTACGGTAAAAAAAAAATCATGAAATTGTGAGGTGACATGAAACCGAGGAGACTAGAAAATATGACCTGGATTGGAGATCATTTGGAAGGAACAGGAAACAAAATTTGACAGAACTCCTATCACGGAAAAGCCCTACAGAGATTTTTACCCCCGCATTGCAATTCATTATTTTACTTCGAAGTGTATTCCAGTTGTGAGGCCCCGTCTTATTTGACAGGTTGCTAACTGCAAAAAAAATAACTCGCCAAATGTCTTCCCAATACCAGGGCTAAAAATTCCTCCAGAACAGTGCTCCTAGAAATCAGATCGGAATGCGCTGGGACGGCACACAAGGTAATTGTTTTAATTGAAAAAAAAACAAAGCTGATGACCTTTCTTCATTTTGAGAACCATCGGGAAGGAGTACAGTACTGAACTGAACTTAAGAATTAGGTGACCCAGTTCTTGGAACTCGTCACCTTTTTTCGCGGAAGTTCTTGAGCAGTTGAAGAAAGCTTTCTTGATCTTAATACGCACAAATGCCCGCTTTCTCCGAGTCTCAATACTTTTTTTTTTTTTCGTGGTTCATACGAATTTCGGCGAGCAGTGAAGGGAAATTGCGCTTACTTGACGGCAACTAAAGCTGCGCTTTGTCCCGCCTGAACTGCAGCGTCATACACTTCTTTCGCTTTCTCCTTCTTTTCCACGCTTGCTTCGTAAACAACGTGGTCGATTTCCCTGCGAAATCAACAAGCACAAAAGCACGTCAGATGATGTGAATGGGGAAACTCATATCAAATCGGCAAGTGTATGAAAGAGTGCTCAATAGAGCACGGAAGGCCAATGAAAAAGCCAGATAAGTTCAACCTAATGCAACCTTGCCTACCCTTTTTAAACTACAGGTGAACCTCCTCAAGTCGATTAACTTCCTGTGTCAAAATTTTCAAAGTCCCTGTCTGAATCCTCTTGAGAAACAAAGCATTAAAATTAATTTTGGCTCCAATAAGGCTTTCCCTTCGAACCTGCGTAACTCGAATTTTCTGGAGACCTTTTGGCAATTATTTTTTATCGCCGGAAAGAGTAAAAATGTTTCTGCATGATTTTGAAAGGAAGTTAAAGACTAATTTAGAAAATAAACCATTGCCTTCAAGCTCAGCAGATCCTGTCAACTCATAGAAGAAGCATTTCAATGCCCATAATATCACCAATTTCAACTTCCAGCAAACTTTTTATCTTTTCCCCAACTAAAACCCGTGTTTCATCAACTCGAAACCTTCATAAACCGGATTTTTTTTCTGGTTCCGACTCAAAATGAGTGCAACTGTAAATTTTTCGATATTTCGTCTTTCATGTAATTGCTTATACTGTATGTTGATGATTTTTATTCTGCTCTTTCGATAAGCATAAGAAAAAATCGCAGGTCGTCAAAAAAAAAAAAGACTATAGTTGATGATCGATAGAAAAAAACTTTCATATCAAACCTATATTATTTTTCTTACATGGAAAACTTGGAGATGAAGGCGGATTCCGGCAACGTCAACGAGAAGACGATCTCATTGGATTTGCTGTCGGGATTCAGTACTTTCGACACTGTTTCCGTCACGGCGTAGCGATATTTGATGGAGCTGCGAGTCTTCAAATAAAGTACCGTGGGCCTAGTACTTTTAGAGGACTGCTTGGTTTCATTCTCTGCCAATTGTTCCCCAGATGATTGTTCCGGCTTCTCCGTCTTCGAACCGAGATGCAAAGTACAAATTTCGTTGAAAAAATATTCATAATACAGTTCACTTTTT